CAGGAAGCCGCTGAGCTCAGCACCAGCCAGGCTGCAGCGAATGCTGTTAAGGCTGCAGAAATACGACCTGGCAGTACAGCACCGACCCGGCAAGGAGATACCGGTAGCTGACGCCCTGAGCAGGCTATACCTGAAGGAGACGGACAATATGTCCGAAACGTTCGAGGCACAGGTACACCTGGTAACCAGCAACATACCTGTGTCCTCACAGAGGATGCAAGAGGTCCGCCAAGAAACAGGAAGAGACCCCCAGCTGATCATCCTCATGGACACCATCCGGGAAGGATGGCCGGACACAAAACGACAGTGTGACACCCGAGTGACAGAATACTGGAATCACAGGGACGAGCTAACCATTGAGAAAGGTGTCATCTTCAAGGGACAAAAGATCGTGATCCCGAAGGCCATGAGAAGAGAAATGCTGGACATCTTGCACGAAGGCCACCTTGGGCAAGAGAAAACCAAGGCAAGAGCCAGAGATATCCTTTTTTGGCCTGGCATGAATGGCCAGATTGATGAAAAAGTCCAGAAATGTGTGACCTGTCAAGAGAACCGTGCGTCCAATGCGAAGGAGCCCTTGATGCCACACCCAACACCACAGAGGCCGTGGCAGAAAGTGGCCACAGATCTGTTCCACTGGGACGGGAAGGACTTTGTGCTGGTGGTAGATTACTATAGCAAATACGTCGAGCTCCACAAGCTCGAGCACACCCGGTCCACTGATGTCATCACCAAGCTCAAGAAAACTTTCGCGACACACGGGATACCAGAAGAGGTCATCAGCGACAATGGACCTCAGTACGCGAGCGAAGAGTTCAGGAAGTTCGCGCAAGCATGGTCATTCAAGCACACTACTTCGAGCCCGCGATATCCGCAGTCGAACGGATTGGCCGAAAGAACAGTGCAGACCATGAAGCACCTGTTAGAGAAGACGCGAGCAGATAACAAGGAACCGTTCCTCGCGCTGCTGGAGTATCGAAATACTCCAGTAAACAATGCTCTGCCGTCGCCGGCACAACTCCTGATGGGCCGAAGACTGCGTACGCGCTTGCCGACGACCAACGAGCAACTGATGCCGCAGTCAGTCAATCACAAAGATGTGCGGCAGCAGCTACAAGACAAACAACAACGTCAGAAGACCTGGTATGACAGGAATGCCAGAAGTCTTCCTACGCTGACACCAGGCAACGCCGTCCGAATGCAACAGACAAACGGCAAGTGGACGCCCGCCACCGTAGTCAGCAAATGCGACCAACCGAGGTCGTACATCATCCAGACGCCTGAAGGTGCACAATACAGGCGCAACAACAAGCATCTCCTGAAGACGAACGCCTACCCCCGCAGCGGTAGCCCAACACCAGCGTCAGGAGACAACACTCCAGCCATGACGGTGACATCCAACGCACCGGCAGAGACTACACCGCCCGTGACAACTACACCAGTGGTGACAGCACCGCCCACTGCAGCCTACGTCACGAGATCGGGACGCACCGTCAACCCTCCAACAAAGCTGGATTTGTGATTAATGCAATGGACAATGAACACGGACAATGAGCACGGACAATGAATTGCTAGTTTAAAGAATAAAGTAGCGTTAATGCATGCACTTTTAACTAACCTTTTGCTAAAGAAAGGGGGATGTAGTGATATTAAAGTCAAGCCAGGAAACACCCCTCTCTTACTACGTGTATTAGACTAGTCCAAGTGGTCTCAAGTAACCGGACCCTACCACGCTCTCTCTTTCTGCCGGGACCCCAGATTGAGCAGACGCATCTATGTACCTCAGAGTTACTAACCCTCCTGATTAAAGACCATCCAATGGTATCGGCCCGCCTCGTCTCAAGTTCAAGATCGAGAATATAACAGGTAGAACACTGAGGAACAGTCAAAGCATGTCTCCTACGCCAGAACCAAAAGACTGAAGAAATCTTTTGTGCATTGCACTATTAGACTCTATAACAACATGCATAGTGGGTCATAAACTACGTGTTTCGCTATTCTCATTGAAGTTTCGGAAACATTGTCATCTTGTAATATCTGTGTAATTGTTTCTGAAAAAAAAAATTGTGCCCCATCCAGGGAGAATCCAAATACCCCCCCCCCCCCCACCTATGTAAATTTTGAGTATTGTGAAAAGAGGCTTGAAGTTTAAAACCCCATAAACAGTATACCCACCACTGTGTGCCTGGATGTTTTGCATCCTGAGCTGGTCGGGAGCCTGTAGCAGGGAGAGTTGTCCATTCTTGTGACCTGCAAACACAACTGCCTTCCCAGCTGTGGTGTGTTCCTGCCCCAGCGCCAACTCCAGTTTTATCAATGCAGCGCTCAGTACCTGGGACAGAAGAGGTTAAAAGGTTAATGGACTGAAAATCTATACAAAAAACCACGGCAAGCTCAATACTCATGGCAAAAAAAAGGAATAGCAAGTAAGAAAAATGAAGTACCGGTATGGCCACACCAATTTAATTAATTGGTACTCAGATTCACCTGCTAACCTGCTCACTAATTTGTAAAAAAAAAATTCAAAACTCCAAAATGCTCATAGTTTGGCCCAGAGGGTTGACAAAAGCTCTGTGTCTTCTTAGTTGTTACAGTTTTTCCATCTATCAGTGCATTGGTTCAATAATGTTTAAAATGTATTGTTTGATTCATAAACTAGTCTGGTATGTTGACTTCATGGCTCCTATCATAGATTTTGGGGCTTGTTTAATAGGGCTGTTTTTTTGTTGCCCTGTCACTTCATATTTTTTTCTAAAGAAAACAAATCCAATTGGTGTGGCCTAAGGAGGATGTCTGTATGGAAATAATGTAGTGTCTTAGTATTTTTTCCCAAGCAATGTCATGTTGCACCTGTATTTAGATTTTCCTACCTGTTCATCGTCCGTCTCAGGACAGAGCAGCTGTTGAGGCATACAGGGGTTGGTGGAGCTGTCATACACCAGAACTGTTCATAGGGCAAAGGGAAACAGGCTGTTCATGTGATGTGTACAATGGTGGTGTCGATAAGTTATTGTACAGTCTGTAATCTTAATCGTGACAGTATCAATGAGACAAAAAGCAGATAAAAAGGTTGATGAAACATTAATTCTGAACAAAATTACATTCTTCATTAGAAGAAGTTAAGTAGAAGTTAGGCCTAGGAAAAAAAATGTTGTGTTTCCTGTTTCAGTCCTGAAAACAATTAGGGTCGGTAGGTACTGATTATCCCCTTTTTTAAAGACTTTGGCGATCTCTAGTGATCCAACTTAAACAATACAGTTTTACAAAGCAAAACTTGCATGAGGACACTTACATTTTCAATATCAATGTTGGAAAACTGATTGTACAACATTTAATCACTCAGGAGTCAGATCATGGAGACAGAAATGGTTGAAAAATTTGTGTCCCTTGCAGGGTTCTGCAGAAAAAAGGCTAGGATTGGTCATGAAACAGGCCATGGAACAACATTTTTTTCCTAGGCCATAGAGGGCTTCTACCATCTGATATCCTTTGGATTCCCCAGTAGATTTTTTCTAATCTTAATGGGGACTACTCCAGCCAGATTTTAATGCACTAAGTGACATACCCTCTCCATCTTTCAGCACTGCAAAGATTCTGTTGGCACTGGGGTCATACACTAGGTTATCCAGAACTTGGTAGGTGGCCATGGGATAGATGATGTTCAACACTACCCCAGAAACAGCTGACAGAATACGTACACTGCCATCCTTGAGAGAAACAACAAACAAACAAATAAACATTACACTTGCAGTAATGTGGCGGTTCAAAATTAATCCACACTTGCTCTACAAGTCATGTTTTCTGTGCGAGACTTATTGGAGATGCCACACAAGTTATGATTTTTAATCCAAAGCAACTTTTTTAAGTTAACAGCAATCAAAGCTTACAGCTTTTGAAATACACAAATTACAGGTGGCCTGGCTTAAGTCACAGTTTGCCTTCTAAAATAAACAGCTGTTGTTGATGGCAACCTGAAATATTGTTGGGCAACCTAGCTTTTGCCTTTAATAGGTTGCCCAGTGGGTAACCTGAGAAACAAAATTCAACCCCCTACCTCTCCCTAAATCTTAGCTGTTGTTGATGGCAACCTGAAATATTGTTGGGCAACCTGTAGCTTTTGCCTTTAATGGGTTGCCCAGTGGGTAACCCCCAAAAAAAGTATTTGAAGCCCTGTAGTTCCTACCTCTCCTGTCACCAGGACCCGTGATGGCAGTCCTGCCCAGTTGATGCGTACCAGTTTGTTAACACTACAGTACACGTGGCTGAAGGTAGAGTGGAACTGGTTCAGGTACCACACCTACATGTAGGGTACAAAACTCTTGTCAGTACAAAATGCTACAACAAACGCCAGACTACTGTCTGTCACTTAATTTGCGAGGTAGCAAAAGTTCGCAGTCTGAGAAAAATGGACATGTTCACGGAACTATACTTTCGGGGTGACTGCAGGTGCAACAAAAAGAATGTCGGCGAATTATTTGTTCACGGTAATGATAAGTTTGCAGTACAGAAGTTACAATTTACTGGAAAGCACTGTCTCGTGGTGCTGTCCTTGGTGCTGAACTTAGTCCCCAGTGTTGAAACTGTAATAATGATGCATTTTAAAAACCCCAGAGGCCCAGACCATCCTCCCTTGAACTCTTGAAAAGTGGCTATATGGCCAAAGAGTATATTTTGCACATTTTCAAGGTTAAATGAAGGTTGAAAATACTGATTGACTTTTCCATTGCATCTAAATTATATTTTATAAATTGAACAAACCTGACATTACACACATTATTGCTATTGCTAGTCACCTACCTTGATCTGATGTTTTGTCCTGTAGAATATAGTGCCTGACCCTAACATGCTCATCTCCAAGATGTCATCCCCTATGTCCAAACGATAGGTCTGAAAACAAAGGAATTTCATTTATTTGATATTCAATTGGCAATTTTCCGTGTCTTTTTGACCAACGCTATTGTACCAAAACAGTTACTAGAGTAACGATAGGTATAATTTTTTCTTACTACCAACACTGCTGAACTTCAGTGGTATCCCTTTTTTTCTATAATTATATTGATTCAAAGATTGGCTATTTAAAGCATAAATAAGCAGATTACCAATCTGACCCGGCCATTTTTAGCTGAGATCTGACTTAACCTGTTCTAGAGTGTCCAGCCTCCAAACCCTGATGGACCCATCCCTGGACCCAGACACCAGTAGTGGGTAGCGGGGGTGCAGAGCCAGCCCTGTGATGTGGTTATAGTGGCCCATAAACTCATGGACCTGGCTGAACACAATGGAGTTCCACACCTGGAGATGGAAAAGAAACACATGACATTGTACTTTTCAATCTCACCTCATTTCTTTCTGTTTATTACGATAACCTTAGCCTAATGGCTAATCTTATAGGGTTCAAATTTAACAGCTAAAGTGTTAAAAGAGTTGCTACACACCTAAACTGTCTTGTTTGAACAAATCGTGGATTGCCTTTTAAAGATAGACAGACCAGAAAAGTGTTTTGATATTGGGCAGTTACTTGTTCCAAACCCTACACATAAGAGCATCAGGTACATAAAAGTACATGTTGATTTGAAAACATCATTCAATCAAGGGAACTCTACCAGTATCATTTTACTAGTAGACAGTGCAATTTTACTACTAAAATTGCACTGTATTCCATAAAATTGCACTGTATTCCTTAAAATTGCACTGTATTCCGTAATTGCACTGTATACTAATACAATATTGTACTGTATTCCGTAAAATTGCACTGTATTCTGTAAAATTGCACTGTATACTCTGGCACCCCTGTCTACTGTAACAATACCTTCATGGTCCCATCTGTTGCTGCAGTGATGAAGTATTCCTTGGGCCTGTAGGCGATACAGCAGCTGAGGTCAGCCTTGTGCCAGTTGGGCAGGAAACGCTCCTGCATGCGGCTGCTGTAGTTGATGAAGAAGACTCCGTCATCGCACATCGCTATCAGCTGCCTCGTCCTTCTGTCCACCTGTAGGTTCAGAACCCACTGCAAAATGGTGAGAATAAATGAATGAATAAATGAATGGTATCAAAGAGAGAATGAATGGTAAGAGAGAATGAATGAAGGAATGAATCTTTATTATTCCACCGGCAGGCATACATTTTGTATCAGTCTGAATTTCCTTGAATTTACAAAGTATAGCTCCGTAGTTTTTTAAATTTGCATACAAGATACTAAATACTTCGTCCATTATCTACATCAAAATTCACATCATAGAAACATGTTTCAGTTTGATACAGATGATTATGAGAGATCAACTGAGAGCCAGTCACTCTCTTTCTCTCTTTTTCTTCAAAATTTCCTGTACATAAACTTTTAAACCTAGCACTTGGGATGTGACGGAAAACTTTTTTCAACCAATATCTCTAACTTGAAAAATCTTGGGTAAAAACATAAAGACATTCAACGGACCAGTGACAACTAAGAAGTCTCAAAATGTTGGAAATTGCGTTCTTGATTGGCTTGAAAACCCCAAATTTCCCGGACCCTGCTTAAGACTGCGATTGCTTGCCCCAGATTTGATTACAAAACTGGGCGGATGGAAAGAATCTGAGCTGACTAGAGCCCTGCTTTTGACAATAACAGTCTGCATTGCAGGATGTGAAATAATCTGTACCTGATCTCTGGTGAGATCTGTGATGAAGGGCTTGGATGGCACCAGCTTGGCCCGGATGTCAAACATGCCGAGTTTGAAGGTCAGCAACGATCCAACTGTCCCCAACACCAGCTCATCAGTGTCATCAAGGAAGGCCATGGACAAGACAGTGGTCGGCATGGGGCTTGTGGATAACTGTGGAAAACAGTATCAGAAATTTTCTTTAAGTGAGTGATATCTATTTGCTCTGAGGAAAAACTAGTTGTAGGTTGTTGATTATGTTTATCTAAGGAAAACACACTGTTTTTGCTCTGTTTCCTCTTTTTGTTCTCCAAACAAATAAGGTCAATGAACTCAACCAAATGTCTGTCACCATGGTAACTAATTTGAAGACATGACTGTTTCTTGTTCTTTTCTGAGCTGGGATTCATGGTTTTCTCACCAAGGACAGCAACATTGCACTATTCCTAGCCTTGTGCATGTTTTCTGCACTTCCTTTCCAGATTGTGAAAGATAGGTTATAACAATCTCTTGTGGTTCTGTCCTTGGTGCTGAAAGTAGTCCATGGTGCTCAAATAGTGTTGGAGCTATCTGTTTTCATTAACACCTAGTGTGACGATGTGGGGGCAAGTTAGCTTTCAAACTGGACTTCACAGGCCAAAGTAAAAGAGCTACGTACAAGTTACTTTTTTTATTGAATACAAAAATGGATTGATACAAAATAAGTCCTAACCTGTTTGAAGTCGTGCAGCATGTCAGTGAAGATGTTGATCGTCATGTCGCTGGAACAGTAGCCCACCAGAGCGTGGACCTTAGGGATGCACTTCAGCAGGGTCATAGCAGGGGTCACAGGATATCTGCAGTTAGAAAAGTCAACATCGGTTAAGGGGTTGGTGGAAAACAATGTCCAGTCCAATTGGCAGAAAACAAAGTCCAGTCTGATTGGGGGGTGGAAAATTAGTCGGATTAATTAAGGCCACAATGAAAGTAGTACTGCAAGTTCCTGTAGTAAGAGTTCTTCTTTTTCAACTGATACATGAAATGTTGACGTACTTCTTTAGTTCAGCGCCATTGGTGTCTGCGTCGATGTTCCACAGGTACAGCTGGTTGGTGACTCCCACGCCCTGATTGGCCACAAAGATGTCCCCCGTCAGGACACGCTGGGAGCACATGCAGCGTACAGGGTTGGGGTGGGACAGGTTGTGCTCCAGCTGAAGTAATAACAAAACAGCACATTGAACGAAATTGTAATATAACATTTTTATTATAATTTCATAATATTTATTAATAACATAAATCCAAATTGTGTTTCAAAACATTTTGAAATTAAGATCTCCTTTTTATTGCAACTTTCGAAATTTTGGCTAATTATGGCATTTTGAAAAACATGCTACTCAAGTACTTTTTTTATGTTAATTTCAGAATACTTACAATATTTCCAAATTATCTGAAAATAATTCAAAAATATTAGAAATGTAATTAAAAAACCTGTGTGGTGACTTGGAATTTGCATGTATATAAATGATTCCTCATATCGTATTATTGCAATAAATAAAGAATTTACTCTTAGTTCCCTCCATATCTATTCGATGATCTACTAGTATATTGAATTTCCAGGAACTGATCAGTAACTGACAGTCTCATTTCAGTAAAATGTCAGTAAAGCAGGTTTTGAAACAGACACCTGACAGTGTGTCTTTTCTAGCATTGTGTTACCCTTGACAAGAAACATAGACACAACAAACTTGTACTTCAATGTCAATGTTACAATCAAAAGCATATAATGTTACATCATGCTCCAAATGTTATGTGTTGGGAGCTATGGCTGAAAATCAGGATAAATGTTGGGGTATCCTATCAACATTTTCAGGGTTGAATTTTTCAAATAGAACTGTAACAATGAACCTTTGGCACTCCATCTGATCCATGGGTGCCATACTGTGCCACATAATACTACAAAGAGGGATTGACCCTGTCATGTCATGGGCCAATTGGTGTTTGGGTCACAGTAGATTGATTCTGAAACCGGGAGAATTAAACTTGATAGTATGAGAAAGAAAGGTGATACATTCAGTCCCCTGTAGCGATATTATACAATGAATGAGGAAAAATTGTTGCTAAAACATTTGAAGTTCCAACTGAATGCAGTTTTCAAGTTTAGTCTCTGTACACTTGAAGAAGCCACACAGGCAAAACCGGTCGTGTGACAGGCTGAATAAAAGTTCCAAACAGGAACTATGCAGTTCCAGATGTCTTACTGAGGGATGACTGCATGTGCAAGATGTCGGTTAGCTGAGGAATGAATCCCCTTGAATTTACATTACAATTTTCAAGTTTGGTTTTTAAGAACAAAAGACAACAATTCTGAAGACCTCAGTTCAATGTTTGTTTGCCCACAAATTTTGCTTCACTTGAGTAGCCCAAGAGAAACACAACAAAGAGCTAAAAATATAGTTTCAAAGCAAAAAGAGACAAAGGCAGGGAAAACTGAGAAGCCTCAAACTCAGACGGCCTCTTCCAATCTATAAGCTATCATCAACACATAACTGCTTACACAAAAACATCATCTATGTCAGCTTTATATTTACTGTCAACATACTAGAAAGTTGACTCTTTTGACCTTGAGCTTCAATTTTGTCTTTGAATCAGCCTTCTGTGTCTTAAAATCACATGTGAAAAATAACATTCATGGCCGCACCAATTGGATTTGATGATTCTCAGATTTTTTCAGAAAAATATGAAGAGACAGGGCAGAAAAAAAAGAAGAAACACAGGCCTAGACATCCTACAATTATATAGCACTTCAACCGGGCCAAAATTATTTTGGAGTTGATTCAAGAACCAACAAATGAAATTGGTGTGGCCTAAAGCACAGTTTAATTTTTTTTGTATTTTTCATTACTGTTGATGATATGGCTCCAAAGGTGGAAAACTCACAGGCAAATTCTTACTGAAAGGCTCAAAATCCTTCCATGGAACAATTAAACATTCTTCACTCTCTCTCAGTGCATATTACGTTGCCGAAGAGGATATGGGTGCTTGACACAAAATAGTAACTGCAAATCCAGCTGATAGTTTGCTTCTACATATTAAAGAACTATTCTCAAACAATTATGATCTTTTATTCCCTAGACCAAGCTAATATTTACGCACTGCGTAGGCCCTATAACTCTATCAAAGCCCTACATAAATAATTAACCAAATCAATGTTCGTTTATCGCCCATGTCCCTTTATGAGCCCCTTCACAAATAGTTTACCCAAGCCTCAGAAGTGTTGAAAATATGGACTGCCCACTTTGCAAACTTGATATGTAATCACCACTATCGAGTCATTGATGGCCGCTAAATGTCAAGCACCTTCAAGACGGGGAAAGAGCAAACAGTTTCCTTAGAGACATTTTCTCTCCTTTATGTTAATGTTTGTTGCTGGTAAAGAAAACTACTGGCATATCCTGTATAAGCTATTGTGGCCATAGCACCAAAGACTTTGCTGAAGGCATCCAGTGCAGTTATTAGGGTTTGGAAACCTAATTTTTCCAAAGCCAATATTCTAGTCATTTATCTACATATTGAGTTGAAAAACAGTGTATATTGACCCTCATCGAGCAAAATTCCCGAAATTCTGACAGAAAATGGTTACTGGAAGGTGATTTTTAGGGTACTGCCCAGAAAATAATATTATATATCATCTTATGACTTGTTTCTGCAGTTTTGAATGCCCAAAGCCTGAAATGCTGACTAAAATGTGCTAATGTGAAGCAGTATGTGTCAATATCACAAAGATTGCCTTATTCAGAATATTTCCAGTTTTGTTATCCTGAAATTGCATTGGATACGCTGCGACAGTATGGGATCCATATACAAAGAAAGACAAAGACAAATTGGAAAGGGTACAGAATCAAGCTGCAAGATTCTGTATGAACAACTATGTAAGAGGTGCTAGTGTCACGGAAATGAAAAGAAACCTACAGTGGACCTCACTGGAAGACAGAAGAAAGATGTCTAGACTACTAGTATGCATGATGTACAAAATGACTAATAAACTGGTGGATGTCCCAACTACTAAGTACCTAATACCAGCCCAGAAGAGAACAAGAAATAGCCACGCATTCAAGTACCAGAGTTATCAACCAAGGATTGAGGTGTTCAAGAATTCATTCTTTCCTAGAACTATCGCAGAGTGGAACTCACTGTCACCAAGTACAGTAGGGGCATTGTCAATAGGATAGCTTTAAACAATGTCTAGAGCTAGAAGTTCAAGGGTTAGGTGTAACAAGTCGATCGGTGTAATATAGCCAGCTGCCGCCGCGCCGCGTGCCTGCGAAGCTGGTGTGTTACGCCGAAAGGCGGTTATACCGGCTATACAGATACAGATACAGACAGATACAGATACAGATGCCTTCAACTAACTTTAAAGTTTGAAATGTCCAGACATTCCAGCCTGCTGCTACTAACAATGTCCTTTCAATTTAAAGCTAAGGCCACACCAATTTAATTTCTTGGTTAACGGATTTTTCTAGAAAAATAATGGAGCGGGCGGGCGAAAAAAAAATAAAATAAAAACAGGCCTAGGCATCCTATTATTGCCCAAAATGGTTATGATAGGAGACATGAAGTCAACACACCAGGCCGGTTCAAAATTTAAACAATGAATTTTGAACTGTAAATGATACCACTGCATTGAAATATGGGATGACTGTAACAAGTAGCAAGAAAAGGACTGTTTTCAACTGTTCAGGGCAAAATATGAGCATTTTGCAGTTGATTCTGAATTTTTATTTTTATTTGCAAATCAGAGAAAAATGAAGCGGCGAATCCGTTAATCAAGAAATTAAATTGGTGTGGCCTAAAGACAAAATGTTTTTAGAAATTTCAAGAAGACTTCACATCACTATTTAGTCTAGCAAGGGAACTTGGACACCACTAACATTCCCCTTCAACCTGTCTTCTTATACCTGTTGCTAGTGGCAACCAAGTAAACAAAGCAATTATTTTCAAACTAAAAGTCACAACAATATTGCAATGGCTTTCTGCACCTTTGATCAAGCTAATACTATGACCCCAAAAAACTGTATTGCAGGTTAGTTCTTGGTAAAAAAAATTGGTAAACAGAGAATGGAACATCTTACATTTGTATTGTTTTTCGCAAAGCCATTTTTGCCTTTAAGGACTACACTTGGTTTGGAATGCCAGGCTAACACTCGTGAAATGGATTTAGCATGTGTATAAACTGGCTGCACACAATGTTTAAAAATTCTACCACTAAACGTCTGTTTCTATGGTTCATTTTCATTGTCCTTTTGATTTATGATGATACGGGTATTGAAGAGATTTTGCATATATCCTGAATAGAATTCGCCTATAGCATAAGTATACATGACATTTGTTTGGCCATACACTAAATACCACTTAGAAATGAGGACGCAAAAAAGATTCTATTGTTTACAAATGTGTTAAGCTGATGTTTATGAAATAACTGACACAGGCCAACTGGATGTGTTTGGTAGAATTTTTCCTTAAGGAAACTCAAAAGGCTAACAAAAAGATCTCCGGATTCATGTTGTGCGTAGACTTGGACTTTTGTCAAGCAACCAAAGTTCGTGCCTATGATATACTCTACAGGAATGTGTCGAACATTTATAGATCTGTTGCTATGGACAAAACAATGTTGCGTGACATCACAACTTTTGTTGTTCAATCATGACACAGGCCCTTATACTTGTTTGTGGTGCTAAACAATTAGTATCCATAGATACAAACAAACAACAATGATTTACCTTCAATTTTGGTTAACTGAAGGAAGAATGTTGTCAAACTAAATGACTGCATGTCTAATTCTGTACAAATCTTCTGATAAAAAACAGGTGTTGCCTGTTTCATTGTTTCAAGCGCTGATGACCTATGATAAAACAGTGTATATATGAATAGTGTGGACTTTGTGACTGTAGTGCCACTTATAGTTTGTCATATTGAAGTAGGTATTTGTCACAAAATACGTATACTGACCCTTTCAAAAATAAATCTGTATTAAGTTTAGCTCACTAGATTATTTCAAAAGGAAGAAGAAGTTGTGACAATTAAATGAAAGGTAAAGCAGTTGTCCTCCATTCAAGCGAAACATAAAGCCTTTTCTATTCCATTGACAGAAGAAAATGCTAGGAAATGCAACGTTGGCGACAACCTTTCTTTGGTTTATATCACAACTGAGTGGCCATGAGCTAGTGACGTCTAAACCAACTATGTGACAAAGACAGTAATACATTATTCATATCTACCCTTCACACAAGTACAGAGGGCCTGCATGGGGGGTAGTGATTACGAGTTATGCAAAATTTTCACCACCGATTACGAATAACGTTAAAATCTCAGAGCTGATTACGACTTTACGATTTGCGGCTGATGTCCTATTACGAATTACGTTGATTTTTGCGGAGGCTGCCTATGAATTATGAAGTCTAAAAAGGCCTGATTACGCCTCATGAAAAAGAACATGCAGGCCCTCAAGTACAGTCTTGTCCCCACAAGTTATCTGAATAGCAGCTGCTCTTATCAAAAATGTCAGTCAATTATTCAGTGACAGCTTTAACTATTTTCCAGCCCAAAAAACTTCAATGGGTGGACCTGAGTTTTCACTACCAATTCATAACAGTATTTGTCACGCCTGAAACATGAGAACATTGTTTCTATGGTGAGATTAGTGCTAGGTACCATGAAATCATTCAGAGAGTACTACCTTAAGGCGAGAACCCCTTATCTTAACAAAGCATGGTCTGACAAAGGTGGTTTATCCGGTGTGGATACAAAAGATAGTTATCATATCAAATCATAAATTGACCTGACAGTGTATGGTTGTGTGTACTACATGTTGTAGTGTCTTTAGGGCACACTGTTACCAAAATAGTTTTACATCTGGAGTTAATGCTTTAAGGGAATGTTATGACTTGCATTTGTTGCACCTCAAAGAGTCAGATCGAACTCAGACATTTTGCTTCAGTATCCCAGTATATTTTTGCACAGAAGTAGACATTCTTATGCTCTAAATCCCTCTAATACAATGCAAATTGGAGGGTGAGTTAGATTGATACACCGTGGACTGTAGAACTATTTACTTGTATTTATTGTTCAAATGGCAGTTTGACTACTACAGATAGCAGTGAATTGCACCATAAAGTTTTATTTCACAAATATTGCCATGGTAACAAAGGGGGGCAACAATAACAAATGGCAAAAGGTTTGTGAGGGAAAGGCCAAAATTGATGAAATTTGCGGTGCAAAAGCTTGCAAATTAAGATAAATCTCTAAGAAATAAAGATATATTTTTTCTTTCCTTCTGTGAATCTGAGGATCGTAAGTATGCGCACCTGTAGTCCATATGGAATGGTGACATTGTCCGCGTTCCTTTGGGAATTCCAGTTCCTCAGTTTCTTCTGAATGTCCGGTTGGACGTCTTTCCATGGCCGCAGTTTGCGGGTGGTCAAGGCCATTGGCACTTCCGAAGTGGACACTCACCTTCCTCAGTTGAACAATACTTTCTTTTTTAATCGTCACATCGTGAGAGTTCTAGAACGGACAGACTCCGTTGTTGCATCACAAATACAAACCCATAAAAAGCTCCATTCTGAAAAAAAATTCCTTTCAGAGTCTCCAAAACTTGGATTGGTAGACGATGAAAAGTTGGGAGCTCTTTTTTCCCTGAGCGCTCAGTTCACCAGCCGCAGTATAGAATAACAATGGGTAAACGGAACTGAAAATCTAAAATGTACTAATTGTCCTTATAGTAAGCGGCAACCGTTAAAACTCCCTTAGCGACCGCGTCCCTAACTTTGCACACCGGCTCAGTTCACAGGAAGCAATTATTTAACACACGAGCAGCAGTTGCTACGTCGCAAAGTCCGACCCCCGAAAAATATCTTTTCATCGCATGTCAACGCCGTAATCTTTCAATCATAACTCCGCCGCAAAGGCCCCCGTGCGGGACCCGGTTGTCACCGTCAGCACGTGCCAGGCGGGAGTGTTGGGAACGAGCTCTGGTCACCTGGGAAAAAGTTTGACATGACGTCACAGCTAGTGGGCGATTCCAACTTCAAGGGTAGACAGAACTTTTATAGATTTTTATATTAAACAAATTGGTAGCATATTCTTGATATCTAAGCATGTATTGTAGTTTTAAGTAGATAAAATACTCTTATTCTTTGCTTGATATTAATTTTTCTACCGTATGAAAGTCTCTATAAATACGAGTAACCCTACACGAATGTGTGTGTGCTTGCCAAATCAATCACGTGGTTATTTGAGCTGTTCCACACACTAAGAGGGATAAATGATAGCTAACTTATGCATTATAATCGCTATAAATAATGCATCAGCTGATAACTGATCCTTGATACAAATAAATATTGAAAATTTCTAGAGTAAGATCAGTGTGTGGCATATAATTCCTAAGCTGCGAGTTATTATGCCGATTTTTTTAAAAATTGTCCCCCATTTTAGAATGGAAACAGCCTAATTGCAAGACTCATTGGACATTACACGAAGCGGTGCTACGTTGCCTGGAGTTTGTGTACGAAGCGTGAAGAAGGACGTCTCTAAAGAGGGTCGTGGCGGCTGCCTGGGTGCTCGAGCGATCTTCAAGACTGTAGTGGGCTCACAAGACGTCTGGAAGAAAGGACCCACCCTTGGTGACACCGCTAGATCGACCAACCACCGTGCGTAACCCAGGTGATGTTTACAAAATGTCAGTTTCAACAACAAAACCCTCTTGATATTCTTCGTGACACATTCATATGTGTGTATTTCAAAACATTATACACGAAGCAGTACCGTTCTAATGCCTATATAAGTAGACTGTCAACAATCGTGGACCGAACATTAGAGCTAGATTGATGCTTGTTTTTACCCGTTGGGGTGATATCAAATTCCAAAGAAAATAACAAGTGAGGTTTAAATAGGACAGGGAGGGGCACCTGGTAATGACTTGTTTAATACTTTCCCTCCGCTTTCTAATTTATCTGACTGTGTTGTCAATGGCATTATGTAGTGTCCTTCGTACAATAGTTGTGGATACAATTTATTCATGAAATACTATAAAACTTAGGTGTATTCTCCAGATTTCAGTGGTACCCTTGTTATCAGTAGTGCCACTCTTATATGTAGCCTGGGTTCCATCCTGGTTAGTTTACGTCTGCTCCTACAGTCGCAACCACCAACGACTGTAGGAGCGGACGTAAACTAACCAGGATGGAACCCAGGCTATCTTATATGAGGGTCTGCATTCCCTTTTTCGTAAGGCATAATCAGGCCTTTTTAGACTTCGTAATTCGTAGGCAGCCTCCACAAAAATCAACGTAATTCGTAATAGGACATTAGCTGCAAATCGTAAAGTCGTAGTCAGCTCAGAGACTTTAACGTAATTCGTAATCACTACCCCCATTGCAGGCCCTCTTATATGTGTAAAATACCAATAGCTTGAGGGCAACCATGCAACCAACAAGTTCAAGTGTTTTGAAAGAAAATATCTCAAGGCACGGTAACTTGTTTGCTTGTTTTCTTCTCACCTTAATGAAAATGTAAAAGGCCATCCACATCAAGATTTCCTATATTGTCAGTATGGATTCATACTAGACTTGGAAACTGACTTACAAACATGTAGAAAGTAAAATTGCAAGCATTAGTGTCACACCTGGCCTACTAACAAGACAAATATGGCGGTATAAAGAAATAAAGAGCAAAGTAATAGTTTGTTCATTCCCAGTTGGGGTACCGATAAGTTCCAAGCAACAAAAGATCAAATATATCATGCCTTTCCAACCGTGACGTTCATTGTTATTAATACGTGCCTCCTTGCCTTTTCAGCATACTTACCATTGACAGATTGTAGCCCTAAGGTTAAAATTTACCCACTCTAATTGTAATACCTTATGTAGTAATGACCCTACAGAATAAGGGCTTAACTGTTAAACCTGCTAGGTCTTTGTATAATGACAATAGGGGTAAGGATTATAACTAGCTTTGTAGTCATAGGAACGAGGACAAAGTTTTTATTATTCTGTAGACCTCTTAGATGTTTCGTGGCAGGGGTTAGGGCTCCATTTCCGTGCACTGGATTTATTTTTGGGCAGTGGCGTGGAAAGGGAAGTTTATGCGATTTGTTCTAAGTGTTTATGTATTGCTGCAGCAGCTGGCACTCTGGAAGTGGGGTCATTGGAGTTCGTTGGACACCTGGTTATGCGCAAACACTAGACGTTGCTGTAACCAACAACAGCATGCCGCCTCCACTAGTGCGCAGCATCAGCAACGTGAAGCGACAGTTCTCGTACCGCCAGCCAATCAAACCCTTCGTCAGCTCGACTTTCGTGGACTTCCAGGAGGAACGGGACTACCTCGTCAAGCGTATTTTCCCCACCCTTGACGCAATCTGCCGAGAAAGGGGCTCCAACTTTACTCCTATTGACCTGAGATGGGGGATAAACAACAACCAGGCTAACTCGGGACAAGTCATCAAACTGTGTCTGGACTACATAAACAGGTCAGTGTTACAAATACCCACCTGCAGTCTGCATTTTGCAGAGACATTTTCAATATTGCAGAAGAAAAATTAAGCAATTTTGTAGACTGAAAAAATAAGGCTACGGGTTCAATGGTGTTGGCCTCCGTTCATAATCATATGGCCAGGTACAGTTTTGCCCAGATGTGCTACACAAAAAAAAACGTACATATCTTGCTTTGAAACCCAGATAGCACAGTTACTAGGGGCTAAATTTAGTACTTTCCTTACTGTTCTTCCTATAGAAAAACTTCTAATAAGCAGAAAAGATTGTGTATTAATTTTGCAGGAAGTAGAGGAAAAATTGCAGAACAAAATTTTGACATTCTGCAATATTGCAAAACACTGAAAAAATGTATATTTCTACCCCTGCAGGTGCACGCCGTTCTTCATATGTCTACTGGGAGACCGGTATGGCTCGCATCGCCCCGAGACCGCGGACCCGCTTCCGAAGACGTTGGAAGACCTGCCGGCCGACGCGTCCTGGATGGACAAGAACTTCGTGGTCGCGGCACAAGGCGGACACGGTTGGGTGCTACAAGAAGCGCACCAAACATGCAGTATTACAGAACTGGAAATAATACAAGCATCTTCCCTCAACGACAATGAACACTGCTACTTCTACTTCAGAGACTCGACGAAACTCGAAGAAAGACTCGGTGACCTACCAAAAGACAAGCAAGAAGAGAAGCTACAGGAATACGCTCCCGAGAGTGACTACGCGGAGATTCGAGTGCGAGATTTGAAGGAGAGATTGATTAACAAGGGCCTCCCTGTGAGGTACTTCAGTACAGTAGAGGAGCTGGGAAGGATGCTACTGGAGGACTGGACAAGGGTGATCGACAGCCTCTATCCACCTGTGGACGACTTCTTGGATGTTGGTAAGTAGTAATTAGTACACGTCAAGTGTTTGGCAGATTAGCATCACATTAGGCCACAGCAAGTAAATTTTATGGATGACATCCTCCACAGACTCCAAATCTAATGCGAAAGAAAAAAAAAAACAGGCAGGCAAAAAAAAAAACAAGATTCCTACTTTTTTAAATTTTGACATCATCATAACCTTGATAAACAAGAAATGATGCCTAAATTGTGCTAAAGTTACTGCCAACTATTACAACATTGCATGAAGTCTATCTCTGTTGTACTCAATAGGCACTCTCTAGTTTTTGACATTTTGCAAAGTTTTCTAGGAGTCAGGTTAGCTGGACCAAGGCCCAGTTTACACACAGGCAAAACCCTTGTGTACAAAAATTGCGTATGTCAAATTTTTCCTGCGTGTAAAACGGTCACACTTTGCATATGCAATTTTCGTAGAGATTTCAGACACCTCCTTGATACATGTTTTAGACATCACGAGGTAGGTTTCAGTGAACCAGTAGTTGGTTACAGTCAGATTGCCTTTTATTCCTTTCAAGTTGACCTAAAAAGATGTTTGTCAGGTAGCCAGTGGTGTTACCTACTATTTGTGCCTTTGACAACAATGTTATTTGTATGGCCTGAATGGCAAATAATAGAGTGCACAGGTGGCAAATAATAGTGCACAGGTGGCTGGTGGTACCTTCATTGTTCACTTGTTGTATCCTTGTCTGTGTTTTCTTTTCCAGCTCAGCTAATGGTTCGTTGACTCTTTCCAAGGCTGGTAAAAGGAGGCAGTCAAGCATGTCCCTTTTAAAACAGCACTTTTTTTTTGTCCTTGCCTGTATATCAAATCTGTTGCTGCGTTCATACATAGCTTTTGAAAGTTTTGAAACTTTTCCACTAGCAAGAGAGATTGATAGATTTTAAGTTTTATTCAAACAGAAAGAAAGAAAACTGCATGAAGGAGGTATTTGGGTCAAGGCCACTTTCTTGGAGACAACCCAATGCAAAATTCCTTTATGTGCAAGCATCCAACTTTTTTGTTGGACTGTGACACTTCTGTCTGAAGATATAATTATGTATGTCTTATCATATATATTGAAGACCTTTGCATACTTTTGAAATTGCAATCTGATTTGTATTTGAGACTTGTGAGTGAGGCCAACTTGATGAGGGAAATTCAGGATATTTTGCTTCACAACATTTCCTTAGTACATTTTCTTTTGTGAACCTTTGCTATGACTAGGTCAAACTATAGCAGCCTAGAATTTGTCGGAGTAACTACAAAGACCCCAAGCAGAGTTTCGGGCTTTTGCTCATAAACTGGCACATTAAAACTAAAAGTTACCAGACTGGTACAAAAAGAAACCCCAGTAAAAAAAGTCTAAAAACACACCAAAAGTAAGCCAAAGCCCAAACCTCTGCTTGGAGAGTACCCAAAATATGGTATGAATTCCTAGTTTTTTCCGCTCCATTTGATTAGTGTTGTCACCATTTTATAATTCTATATTGAGGGATATTTTTTTAGCTGAATTGATGAGAAATTTTGTGTTTACTACAGGTGGAGAATCGTTCAGACAGTGGGCAGCTCACGAGTCCTTTGCTGAAACTCGCCGGCGTATCTTCGTGTCGACACCAGAACTGGAGCGTCTTAACAGCCAGCTGGACGAGCACGCCCTGTCAGGAGCCGCCCAACCTTCAGCAGACGACTTCTTAACTCGCACCAGGTGTCCCGACAACTCCTTCAGATCCAGGTGAACTCTTTTATTTCAGTTTCCTTGCATTGTATTTTCATACCATATCCTGCTGTTATTTGAAATCAAACACTTTCGGCTGTTGTCTCATTCGGGGGATCACGAATATACAAATGAGTACATGGAGAAGCACATCTCTGACATTCGTGGCAATTTTCTGGATGTACTCATTTGCATGTTTGTGATCCTCCAAACTTTCCCATTTTTCCCAGCTTTTTCCTTTTCTTTTACTATAATGTGCTGCATTTCCTGTTTGCTCCTAAAGAACACCTAAAGCCCCTGTCACACATTAAGAATCAGAACTTTGCAGTCTAACCAGATTTACGCTGTGCCTACCTTTCTATAAGGAGTCAAATTTGAGTTAAATTTGACTTCCAAACTCATTTATTTGACTCCCAACTATACACAGACCATCTATACTGACTTATCCCAACCACCAGCCAATTGGTAGTGTTCAGGAGGCTATGTGTGACAGGGGCTTAACCAAATATCCTGCTAAAGAAACCAGGTCTAACAGTCTACCCTGCCATTTCTTCTTCTTCAAGGACATTAAATCCTTTCCTTCTCTCTCCCTCTATCTTTTGTGTGAGCTTCAGCATGGCATGTGAGTGAAAGGTCCACGCAGTGGAAACATATTGAGGTAACATGTGTTATCTATGGATACATCTGTTGTCACTGTTCCTGTCCTACTGTATACATAGTTGTGGTCTTTTTCTTCCTTTCATCTAGTAGACTTGCTCTAGTATCACTTCATATTTCGTGGTGCTAATTAGGGGAAGCATTTTTTTTGTGTACTCATAACTGTAACCGGCAGTAGAAAATAGATTTTCCCTGCAACATGTTTCTTTTAAAAACCCTAGAAAGAATAGCTTTTGTATTTATAGTTTGTATGGGTATGAAAGCTGAATAAAAATAATGTAGTAAGAAACTACTGTAAATCACAATTTTTTTACTGTACTTTTAAGTTTTATATTCGTGATGCTTGCAGCCTGCTAACTTATCATTACCATGAACAAATATTCGTTTTTGCTGACCCTGCCGCCACCGTTAACGTACATGTACATATACATGTAGTATTCTCAGACCGTCAACTTTTGCTATAGCTCTACCATGCAGTTGTTGACCTCTGCCCTATTTTCCAGACCTTCCTCAGCCCCAGGTTACCAGTCCATCCTGATGTTGGTAGGTGAGCGAGGCTGTGGTAAGACCGCCATGGTCGCCAACTGGGTGAAGAATTTTACCTCCAGCACTGCCGACATTGTTGTGGTGTCACACTATGTGGGAGCGAGTGCAGAAAGCACGGATGTCGGCAGCTTTCTACGCCGATGTACACAGGAGCTTAGGAACGAATTTGCAGGTATGCACATCTTTTTTATAAGAAACTCAGAAACAATTTACTTTTGAAAGACTAATTTTCATATCACCTTTCAAACCTCCAACTCTGAGCCAATGTACCAGAAATAGATTTTGAGATTATCTTAAGTTATGTATTTCTTTTTCTAATACTCATTTACAATTTTGTTTTTTAGGTTAGTCTTGAAAAATGCACAGAGAATACTGTAAATTACGATTTTTGTGGTACTTTTATATCCATGGTTTTCCCAGTCACTTCTGAACTGCAAACTTATTATTACTATGAACAAATACAAATGTAATGCATGCACCGACTTTGTTTTTGCTGCACATGCAGCCACATTGAAGTTATAGTTCCAGGAACATGTCCATTTTTCAAACTTTTGCTACTGCGAACATAAAGTGAGTTACCGGTACAGTAATTTGGGCATTTGTGTCTGATGCATGTTCATTATTTCCCACTGTAGGAGCCCCCAGTGATATGGCGTCGACCACGCAGGATCTGTCGGATTTCCACCGGACGTGCGAGGCCTTCCTGGCCGCACTGACCCTCGGGCCGTCTGTACTGGTGCTTGATGGGATAGATGAGTTGAACAGCACATACGGCATGACAACCCAGCAGGTAAGGAACAGGGGGAACAAATGAATGGAAGAGTTACACTCACTATCCGATTTAGTGTCTGTTGTCCCCGTCTTCCAAGGGTTAGACATGCTCACTTGCACAACAATGCAATAGATGGCAGCCCACCATTTGCCTCTATGCTGTGGGTTGACGTTATGGAGGTTAAGGTGGTAGAAGTCCTCCCTTATGTTGCCCATCCATCTCTTCCTTGGTTGGCCTCGAGGATTTTGGCCTTCCACATCCAGTGTGAGGATCTTCTTAGGCCACTTCTCACTGTCCGTTCTTTGGAGGTGGCCATACTACATGTATCTTTGTCGGCTAAATCTTACTTACCGGTAGTCTAGTTCCTGAATGCTATGGACTCTAAGTCTGCTTCTTTGTTATTAACTGTTTACAACTAATAATAAAAAAATAAAAAAAATGTTTAGTAAGAGTTGCAAGTGGAAAACTGAATGGTCATGAAAGATATGTTGACATATTGAGAATACTGTACATGTAGCTTAAGACTTGGTTTGCTATAGCCTGGATCCCAGCTGAACTTGGCCCTGAAGCTAAGGAGTGTTACTGTATACTGACCCAGGCAACAGTCTGCCAGACTGTTGCCAGGCTAGGTTTACTACTGAAATAATACCAACAGAAGATCTTCAAAAGAAACGGGTCGATTCTTTACCTTTTTTTTTAGAGGAGGTCATATCAGTAAATACTGAGATTCCAATGACAATTGTTTACAAGGTATTTTGTTTTGTTTTTGTTTACTCCAGGTGAAGGAGTTTACCTGGCTGCCATTCCCCCTCCCACCCCAGTGTCGTATCATCGTGACCACCACACGGTCAGACCTGACCTACAAGGCACTGGTCAACCGGCCAGACGTTACTGATCTGAACGTCCCTCTACTGGCTGGTAGGTATTATGATTATAGCAGCCCCTGTTTATGTCACACATAGTAATGATAATATAATAAATGGATTTTATTGTCCAAACAGTACCCGTGCAGTCGCAGACTTTATACGGCTGAATTGATGCAGGGTGTCACATAATAATCAATACAACAATCAAATAATACATGACATACATATTTTCTCCACAGATTTTTTTTGTGGAACTGTCGCAAGGGTCTGTGCGGCTGCCATTCGGCGCCACAAGGTGACCTCAATACGACTTTCCCCAACCAAAGTTAGGTACCCATTCACACCTGGATGGAGTGAGGAAGTCGTGTAAAGTGCCTTTCTCAAGGGCACAATGCAGGAGCGCATGTCCAGACATGTCCCGGGTACGACTCAGAATTGAACCCCGGTCTCCCCGATTCATAGTCAAACGCTCTACCACTACGCCATCCAATGCCACATAGCCTCTTGAACACATCCAAGCTCATGCTGGAAGGTTAGGAGTACTACTGGTTGGGAGCAAGGTCAGCTGTGGTTAGCTTCTAAAATGTTTCAAACATTCGGGAGTGGCCGGGAGGTTGGGCCATTGTTGGAGACAGTTTGGCCGGTGGTTGGTACATGTAGTTGGTCAGCGGTGGTCAGGGTAATACAGCATTGCTTTGCAGTAAAATCTGACTCAAATTCAACTCAAATTTGATTCAATTTGTATCAAAAGTAGGTGTGGACTAAATCTGGTAAGACTGCTCCTGTAAGTAGGTGTGGACTAAATCTGGTAAGACTGCTCCTGAACTTCAGCCAACTTTAGGTTGGTGGTTAGGGGAAGGTTCTGAATGTGTGACATGTACAGCTAGGGGCTCAAGCCGTGATTTTCAAAATAAGCTTTCGAAATGCTGTAGTCTTAAGAGGGGCTCAGTTGTGCAAACTGTGATCTTAAGCTGGGCTTACTTTTTGTGAGTTGTCATCTTTTCAAGATGAGCCCACTTGATAAGCCATAATCTTCCCGATGAGCTGTCTTTCTTTCCTGAAATCCTAAAGATCAGTTTCATAAGCTATGTGTGATCTTTAAGAGGAGCCAGCTTGCTTGCTGTAGTCTTCAAAGATGAACTCAATTTTATAAGCTTTGCTTTTCAAGGTGAGCTTACTTAGTACCTAAGTGAAAATCTTCAAGATGAGCCCACTTCTAAGCTGATTCAAAATGCAGGCTACATGTAATAGTGCATCCTCTATATATCAATGACCTTCACAAATATCAGTCCTTTACATTATTCTGAATTACTAGTGTTTCAAACTGTAGGCAAGCAGGACAACAAAACAATATTGATGCACATACATGTAATCTTCCACATTGGTGTTTTGGGAAGAAAGAAAAGAACCAGAATTGTAGTGACATTGACCAATCAATCAATCAATCCAATACGAGTAAAGTGAGGAAAGTCATTTTAAGTGCCAAGGGCCCAAGATTGGTGACAAGACAGGAATCGAGCCTGGAACCTTTTGGTTCTGAACCACTGGTAAACACGCTGCCATTATATGCCACACGACCTCTGCTACCGGTATTACGCCACACGACATCTCAGTTCCTCAGCACTCTAGTCAGCAGTATCTCAGCAGTGAAGGCACTGGGCTATTACTGAACCTTGTGGTGCGAATTGATGTTTTTCAGATTCACCTTCCAAGAGCACAGTAATGGAGGAACACCTGGCTGAACACTGTAAGTGCCTGGACTCCGGCCAGCTACAGCGCATCGTGGAGTGTAAGCTGAGCAGCCGCCCGCTGTTCCTCTTCGTGCTGGCCCACGAGCTGTGCGTGATTGGCCAGCAGCAGGGCGTGGACCGTCAGCTGGAGGTGTATCTGGAGGCGACCAGCATCCGTGACCTCTGGGTCAGCATCATTCAGCGCTGGGCAAAGGATTATGGGTGGCACAGCAGGAAGGAACAGACAATAGAGAAGGGTCAGTCATTGTTCTTTGCCGTATCTTTCTTTTACGTTGCCCAATAGCAACTTTAACTTGCAGCTACAATTTTGTACAGAAAGTTTCTTGATATATACTGTCAAACTTGTCTAAGACGACCACCTAGGTGACTGAGGAAAAGTGGTCTTCTCCTCAGAGAACAAGAAAGCCACTGTCGTGACAGCAAAATTTCCACCCATTTTGCAATAGACTGCCCCATTGACCTAAAGTGACCCAGCCAGCGTCATTTTACATAACGCAAGGACTGCCATGCTGTCAAAATCAATGACCATTTTCATCGCGATTTTTCGCTAGTTATCATTGAAAAACATTTTCCTCCACATGCTTGACATTACCGCGGTCATAGACAGAGATCTCGGCCATGTGCTGAATAGTGCTGTTCGCGGACAAGTGGTCGGCTTAATGCTTACATCTATGGGGAAAAAAAAATTGGGACCAAGAAAAAGCAAAAAATTAGTGTCATGGCCAGTTGGCCAGCTTATAGAGGTGGTCGGTTGGGCAAGTTTGACTGTATTTATTTTTCTACCATTTCAGGAAGCAGAGGCTGGGTTGCCGATGCCCTACGTCTCATCGCGGTCTCCCGTAACGGCCTGCAGGAGTCTGAGATCCTGGGAGCGCTGGAGCTGCTGGGGTACAGGGACGAGTACAAGGTCGCGTCCTTCGACTGGGCGCTGTTTCGATCCTGTGCACAGGACGCTTTGTTTGAGAGGCCGGGCGGACTTCTCAACTTCTTCCACCAGGACATTCGGGAAGCTGTGGAGTGCTCCTTGTTAGGTTAGTCTGGTTGTGTAGTTGGCAAAGGTCACTATTTTGCACAGGTGCAAAAGGCCCATTTTTAGTTACTAACCATTGATGAGTGTCCAAACCAACTGTTAATAGCCTTTTTCTTGGCATATGTTGCTAATTGCTGGCATTTTGCAGCTGGGGGGTTTCTATGTTTTTGTTTTGTTGAAAAAAATTAACTTTTAGGCTTGTCTTTGATGCTGGGTAGAGCTCTTAAAGGGATGCTACATGTATTTGTGTTTTGGTGGTGTACGAGGGGGCCAGAAGTCATTCCAGCTTTGTTCTCATTCATACAATGACTTTTTGCCGATAGAAAAGTAGGAATTTTGCACTAAATGGACAACTTGATACTTTAGGCAAAGGACTGGTACTTGAAGTCAGATGCTATATATAAACAATTCGGCAACTGGAAATTTCTTGTTTTATTGTACAGGAACTGTTACCAGCGCTGCCTCCAAGACATCCTTCTCCTTCCCCACCATGCAAGAACACGTCCGCAACAAGTACCACGCCGTGCTGGCCGAGTTCTTCAGCCGCCAGCCGCACTCGGAGCGGCGGGTGGACGAGCTGCCGTGGCACCTGGAGATGAGCGGGGAGGTGGGACGACTTTGCAAGGTTCTGTCTGAACCCGGGTACGCAGAGGGCAATGCATGTCATGGCTGCATGTGTCTAACCTATTTTGCTTTTTGTTAACATAATTGCTGCGATAATGATAAACTTTTAACTTATTCCATCATCTCAATTTTGTTAGGCTGGTGTCTAGTCTATCGCTGTTGGGGCGGGCTCTCTTCGGGGCTGCTGAAGCTTTTCCCCGCCTGACTCAGCTAGGTTATCCAGTAGGTTTTGCACGATGGGAGTTCACTGCGTCAACTCCAGGTGTGCAAAACTCCTGCAGGCATAACACACCTACCGGCCAGTCTGTTGAGCTGGCCGGGGGACACTATTAGCATAGAGCCCCAAAGACAGCCTGTCCCAACCACGATAGACTGGATACCAGGCTACAATTTTGTTGGATGTAACATCATGTCAAGCGCCAAAGCTGTGTGGCATCAGGCCTCTTGACAATTCGGGGGCATGCTCCTCCAGGGAAATTTTGAAATCTCGACCCTCTGAAATGCTATTTCCTGCATTTTGAAGGGCAAATTTTGCTGGTAGATTAAGCTCAGTTCAATGACATCTCTTTCCATATTTTATATGCCAATCTTTGTCCATCAAAGATGACAGATGGCACAAACTTTTTGCCCCTCAAGATTCCGAAAGATGGATGATGACTAGAACACTAATTTGAACTTTCAGTCTGTCTAATAATAAAAGCTGTCGTGTCGCACTCTCATCATGCAAAACCTACCGGGGAACCTAGCTGAGTCCGGCGGTAAAGAGCGTCTGCAGCCCCGAAGAGAACTCGCCCTAACCACAATAGACTGGATACCAGGCTATCTTTCCAGCCTTTGTTCACTGTTGTTCAATGATAATTATTCACAATAACCTCCTACAGGATGTTTCTGGCTATGTGGGGAGACAGCAGACAGAGTAGCACGCTGCGGCTGGACCTGGTACGGTACTGGAAGTTCCTGACACAGGCGGGGTACGACCCAGGCGAGGTGTACGGGCGCATGGTCCGGAAAATCACCGGAGACAACGAGTCAACCGCAGAAGGAGATGTAAGTTTTTTATGGAAATTTTGGTATAGATTTATCATAGGATTACATTCAAATTTATTTGGAGGAACCTTACAGCACTTTGTAAAATGTATTGGATTCCATATTCCGTTTGGCTAAAAGTGCATTACATTTCAAACCGTAAACAGGTGCCGTAACTACTGAATAAACTGAGAAGTTTATGAGGTGGTTATCGCATCTGACCAGGGGTTATCTCACCATATACACACTGTCATCATGATGGGTATACAAGTAATTCAGTGCTTCACACAATCCACAAATATCAGTCAGCATTCATTACATCAAGAGGTACTTCATTCCTCCTACAGTTTAACTAAAACAGGAAGTTATTTTCTTTCTACTCCACAACTGTCTCTTCCAGGCAAAGTTTCCATAAAGTATATCGTTTGCCTTCCAGGGTCGCCTGTCCCGTACAGTGAGTGTGGTGATATCAGAGCCCCCAGTCTGGCAGGACCCAAGTGACAGTGATATTGGTAAGAACTGATTGCAATGGTTGTTCTATAGAAAGTTTGCCAAGGAAAGATCAATTTTTAAAATTGAGCTTTCGCTGATCTGGCAGTAGTTTCTAAGCTGTTCGTTTCTAAGCTGTACATGACCAGTTAGACATTTGATGAGAAAAAGCTAAAATACATGTAGTTGAATTGTCACGTGGCTTCCCTGAAGTTGACCCAGTGTTGACGTCACACTTCAGAGAAGCCACATGACAAGCCTTACTGGGTGAGTCTACTGAGGAAGACCAGAGTCACTTGTGTTGGATCAAAACGGAAAAGTTTTAAATTTTATCAGACAAGTAAGTTTGGTGTGTTATCTTTCAACAGACCCAAGATCCCTGAGCCCCACTGGCAAGCTGCACTCCTGTCTCACCACCATTAAGGAGGGTTCAGACCAGGCCTCCGTCAGTAACGCCAGCGAGACGCAGAGTCAGAGCAGCATGGGCGCGGTTCTCAGCATCGCCACCAGCTTCGGCAGCCTGGCGGGCGGCAGGAGCGACGACGACGGCTTCGACCCGACGCCGGAAGAGCGCGCCATGGACATCGAGTCCACGTTCTTGACGGAGAGTCGCGTGGCTCACCTGGACATGGACGAGGAGCGAGAGGAGATAAAGGAGATGTCACAGTACGAGGTCGCCGCCCTGGCGTGTCACGCCGGACAGTTCCTGAACGAGATCGGGAAGTTCGAGACAGCGCAGGAGATGCTGCACAAGGCGCACGACCAGCTGAAGAACGCAGACTCGCCCAGCCTTGCCGAGCAGCAGCTACTGTGTAAGGTAAGAACAGAAAGGCTGAAGAAAGACTTGGTTGTGTAAAAAGAGTCTCTTTACTCAGTGTCTTACAATCCTGATGAAACTACGGAAACTCATATGCTACTATCCTGTTTTAAATTAATGTGTTTCAAATTAAAACTTTTGATCCAACACAACATCAACACAGAAGGCTCCATGTACCGAAAAACGCAGGTCATTAATATCCGATACGCTACCCGCTTTTCAAATACCGGTAGAACATGCATTCTGTTCTGATGACCAAAATGGAACAGTCTTGCATTCTGTTCTAATGACTTGTTTGAATCCGAGCAGGTTACCGCAATTTGGACAGTCATGTAAAATGATCAAAAGGACATGAACTTGATACAGTTAACGTTACATGTAGTATACAAAACGTATAACCGACATGTAGCCACTCTCTCACTCTATCTTTGTGGACTAGGTCATTCATTCTATGGTTATAGGAACCGACCATGAATTATGACACCATAATTTATACACCTTAGGGAGGGTCATTAACCGTATATTCATAATGTTCCAGGTGGAGGAGAACATTGGGAACCTGTACCTGTTCCAACTGAAGACACAGGAGGCAGAGGAGTGGTACTGGAAAGCACTGGGGACCATCAACTCCATACAGGAGGAGGATGCTGAGCACATGGCTAAAATGGTAAACAAGATATTATACTTCACAGTAGAAAATTTTAACAATGTTAGCTTGCATATTCCAGCAGTTAGTGACCCTACCTCTGGACCAACAGGTTGGGAGTTCGAATCCCAGCAATCCTTACTGTTTATTGTACATTTGTACTTGAAAAGAGCCATTTCAGGTCTTGACTTTTTAGTAGCAACATATGGCATATAGTGATATAGTTTAAAAAAATTAAGTGGTAAGTCGCTGTCTCAGATACTACACCCCTGCTACTGGTGTATGAAACAATAAAAAACTAGAAAAATAATATTTGCAAAGCAAATGCATAATGTTTACCTTTGCATATGGTCTGGTCTGGTAATATTCTTACTCAAACACATTCACATATATGGGGACAGGAGTCTAAATCCCTCCGAGGCTCCTATGTTTTTATGTAACCCAAAACCAGTTACCATGGTGAGAGACAGTCTGGTTCAGTCAGGCAGAGGTCACTGTTTGGAGAAGAAGAAGAAGAAACATAGCAAAAACTATGTTTTCCTTCAGTAACAATAAAAACGAAAATGGCTGAGGTACTAGTATTAGGGATTTTGTTGTCCTTTTTCCTCCCAGATCGAGACTAAAGGCAGACTGTTGGACCAGCTGGGGAACATGAAGACGTACGCCGGTTGTTTTGCGGAGTCGGACCAGCTGCTGCAGGAGGCCAGGGATCACATGGAGTCCGCCTGCAGCATCCCCGGCCTGGCCTCCGTACAGCACCACATCGGGGTCCTGAAGATGAGGAGACGGCAGTACACCATGGCTGAGGACTGTCTCAGGGAGGCACTCACTACAAGAGAGAGGTGAGAATGGTTCTGCAAAAAAAAATAGACCGATCCAGACTGTCCATCACAATTTGCAATTCAACCAATGAGAGCATGGCAATTAGCAGTTTGACCAATGAGATAGTGGCTGCATGTCTGTCAAACAAAGCAAGAACTGCAAGCTGTTAACCAGTTCTTGTCCCCTTCCAGATGGTATGGTACATTCCACCCCATGGTTGCAGATGTACTGAATGACCTTGCTGGGCTACTGGCTGACAGGTAATAACATCATTTTAATTTTGTGAAAACAAACTTCATTGTATTAGCTAGCTTTGTTTTGTGTTAAACATAAATAATTAATGCATCCATCCTTGAATTTTTTCATCAGGTTAGTAAATCACTGAGTAAAGAGAGACTCTTTTTACACAACCAAGTCTTTTATTCCGCTGATGTTTCGGTGACTGTCTGTCACCTTCCTCAGGGCAACTGGTTGGTTCACATTGCACAGCACAGGTGTGGCTGCTATAGATGCATTCCCAGATGCAAAATATTACCCAGATAAACCACTTGGTTGTGTAAAAAGAGTCCCTTCATTCATAAATGCATCCATTTGAAGCTGCCTTCAATCGAGTTACATGTACTATCCATACAAAGGTTAAAGATATGCAGCTTGAATAGAATAGAACAGTACATGTATTTCTTATGCTAATATAAGATCTTGATGTCATCAGGAACAACAAGAAGGGGTTTAACCGACGCGAGGCTGAGTCCCTGTACCGGCGAGCGCTGCGGATCAGGGAACAGTGTCTGGGGTCCAACCATCTACTGGTCGCAACCACCCTGTTCCACTTAGGTAAGGAGTACGGAATGTGGCACTTTTTATGGAAGTAATTTTGCATGATGCAATCTGCTAGAGGGTGCAGCTACTTAGGTGTGAAATCATTCGTGAGGATATGAATGGGGGGATCTGAGTGGCCTGACATGCTAGCCAGCCCAGGTAGACAGCTGGCACCCAGCCTTTTTCGTAAACCCCTTTTTATGGAATTTATCACTAAGTAAATACGTCCTTTCTGTGACAGAACATACAGAATGCAATGACAAGATTTTAAAAAAGCAGGATCTTTTGCCGATCCTATCACATTGTTGATAGAATTTAAGGGCACTGTACTCTAAAAATGTGACATTCTGAATGAAGATGTTTTGTAACTGTTAAGGAAAGAGTTCATTTTGCTTATGGATCAACTGTTACAGATATTCTGTCATTACCGGGTAAGAAGATTGCAGTTGACCTTGTTTACAAATGAAGAAACTCATTAGAATGACACAAATGAAGTTTAAACATACATGTAAGTGTCACTCACACTTTATCCTGTTTAATGTCTGTTGTTACCCGCGGGAGGTAGAGATGTGCTTGCACAGCAATACTGTGGCTTGATGGCAGCCCGCCATTTGCCTCTATCCGGATCCTGTGGGTTGACATTATGTAGATTCAAGTGGTGGATTCTGAGTCCTCCCTTCCATTTCTTCTTTGGTCGACCAGGAGGGTTTGGGCCTTCCAGTGTGAGGATCTTCCTAGCTAGGCCACTTCTTACTGTCCATTCTTTGGAGGTGGCCATACCATTTTAGACTAGTCGTTGAGATACATGTAGTACTTAAATAGCCTTGTTTTTTAGGAAAACTGCTGAAGGTGGATGGTGCCCAGCATGTGAAGAGAGAAGCAGTGAAGTGTCTCCAGCAGTCTCTGGACGTCCGGACCAAACTGTTAGGCCCCGAACACCCAATCACACGAGCTGTAAGAAACACACTCCGCGACGTGGAGTCACAGATCAGCACGGGGCTGTATGACTTCAGTACCAAGAAACAACCTGATGCAAGGTTGGTATTGTTTTCCTCACTAAGGCCACAGCAAGGAATTTTTATGGACGCATTATATTTTTTTTTTTTCTATTTACTTCAGAATTCACCTCAAAACAAGGCTCGTGAGAGCCACTTACGTGTTTTGGGTTACAGTGATGACTGCGTGGTCAGATATTTGTTCACCCTTGATTTAAACCGTTGGAGGTTGTAATTAGCGGTGAAACATTCACGGGGAAGCTTGTTCCACAGTGAAGTGGTTCTGGGGAAGAAACTGTCAGCATGAAATTTTCTCTTGACTGATGGACTATTGAGGAAGAAAGGGTGATTTTCTGCTGTTGAGGTGGCTAAGCGTGTTCTTGCAGAGAATGTTCTGAGTGGGGGTACGAGGGAGTGAAGTTCAGCAGAGCATCTGCCGTGGAAATATCGATATAGTAACGCCAGGCTAGCAACATCGCGCCGGTGTGAAAGCGGTTATAACGTGGCGTGCAGGTCTCTCCCAACGAGATTTCGCAAACTATTTTGGACCCTATCTAAACAGCTCAACGAGCTCTGTGCAGCTCCAGCCCAGATGTGACAACAATATTCCATTTTTGGACGGATTTGGCTCTTACACAGATACAAGATGGCAAAAGGAGTTAGGTACTTTCTGGTGCGGTACAATGACCCTACCATCTTACCAGCCTCCTTGGCAACAGACTGGATGTAATTGTTCCACTTGAGGTCATATGTGAGTTTGAGGCCCAAAAGGCTATCGAGGCATGCTGATTCTTTTAACCGTGTCTCCCCCATATGGACAGGAGGAAGTTTCGGATCAGATCTCTTATGATGGAAAGAGAGAAGCTTTGTTTTGGACGGATTAAAGGTCACAAGCCACTGATTCCCCCACTGAACAGTGCGTTCAAGGTCAGCGGAGAGGTCAGCGGCGAGGGAGTCGTTATTATATCTGATAATATATATATTTTCTTGTCTACTTTATCTTCTCCAGGTCCCGGAACCGTCCCTACAGCAGTATGAGTTGGCACGAGCAGGACATCATCCTTTTTGAACAGAAGCAGCAGGGGAAGAAAAACAGACGGCAGGAGCAGTATGGAGGGTCTCGCAGGCCCAGCAGCATCCCCAGCGGGGTCTGGAGATCCCAGTCCGTCGTGTCGTGCCCCAACGGAAGAGACACCGCCATGAGTCGAGCTACGCGGGAGATACCCAGAGTACACTCTGCTGGGAGTGAGCGTCACAGGGCGGATGTCCCACAGCAAGGTTTCAGATTTTCAGATTCAGATTTTTATTTCCAATGACATAACAGGTACACGAATAAAATCAATTTTACCTGAAATGCGTCATTTGATCACAGCACAGCTGTTAGTGTTAAGTATACACATCATAATACATTATAGAATAGAATCCTCACAGTCAAAATAATCTCAAATAAACTGTATTTACAAACCTGTTTCTGATGCGAGAGGCAGTTACGTTTGTGCGTGTGTTACAGTTTAGCTCAGAGTCATTTACACTGTGACTATGATACAGCATAAAATAACTGCAAGGCTTAGAAGTAAGGAAAAATTTAACATTGTTTATCGTTTTTAACAGGTTTCCACAGAGAGGAAGCTCCGTGGAGAGAATTCTCGGAGAGCCCGCCCAGAGAAACACAGTGGGAAGAAACCGTTGGACAGGAAGACTTTAAAGGTGACCCGAGTCTCTTCAGAGAAGGAAGTATGTCCATCAATTACTTCAACACGAAAAGCTCGGTGTCGGAGTTCCAGAGCCGGATGACGGTTGTTTCGCGGAACACGAACATGTCGCGTTTGAGCAGAAGCTCGCACGTGTCGCACAAATCGTCATGTCACATCCCCAGTGCACACAGCGTGGACGAAAGTAACGTTAAGTCAGTCCACGGCCCTCATAGTACGCTACAGACCTTGTTAGATGAGCCGCCAAAACCGCGGGAAAACGTGAAGAAATCTGGAGTGCAACACAAGTCGGCGTGGTACCACATCCCGGGAAGATACTCGACCAATAAGGAGCCACTGCCGAGAAAGAGAAGTCAGAAGCGGGTGAAGAAGCTGAATCGTGGGACGGACACGACGTTGGACCAGCAGCTTCATCCGATAGACGAATCACCAAGCAGCGAGGGAGGGAGCTCGGCGGAGTCCGAGAAATGGGGGTCAGACGGAGTCGAAGCGGCGGAGGCAGGAATCCAAGATCTACAGATCATAGGGGAAGGAAAGGAAAGTCACAGCGAAGCAAACATGCAATCCGGACCTCCCAACTTTGCCGATCAGTATGACAAAACTACGTTGGAAGCAGACAATGAGACAGTGTTGACAGGTGATGCGACAACTGTGGAAACGGAAAAGAAGGGAACAACAAAAACCTCCAGGAACCTTAGAATTGTGGAACCAGAAAGGGTTACTAAAGAAGCCATTGCTTCTAGACACTATCAGTTTCCTGCTGTACATTAATTATCATGTAGTAATGACAGATTCATTATGATGTTAGAATTTTCTATATGATTAATGAACCAAAGATGAGATTGTGCCAGAATGAGATTCAAGGATATTTGGACCAAAGAATGTGCTGATATATTGTGGAACTTTAAAGTTGCTTGTTTGTTTTGCACTTAAATCATGTCTCTATGTCTCTATGTAATAGGGTAGGAAAATCCCCTGTCACACATTCACTTCTGTATTCACGTAAAATCATTCCATTTAAATTTGTGTATAAAGAAATGCTCTTATTGTGTGCTCAGTCAATATAAGTTTGTATAGTTTGAGATTACACACTTTGATAAGATTAGAATGGTCAGTTTTGGATGGAATACATTCAGCTTTGTCACCTGGTGGAATATGAAGAGATCTAGGTAAATATGTTGGCAGAACGTAATGTGCCTGCCCGAAACACCTATTTTTTGCACATTCTACATTTGTTATCGAGATCTTCGTTAATGTATATATTGGTTGTCATCCTTACATCCATTGTATGACTCACAATATAATTTAAGACAATGCACCATACATGCATGACTTAAAGAGTTATACCACCATATCCACACTCATGATCAGTCTATCATAGCCAAACCGAAAACATAACCTTCTGGCAAAGACAATAATTACAACATACATGTGCACCGTATGTTCACAACTCTTCCTCTGGGCAGATATGAGAAAGCAGCATGTTTAGTTGACTGTCCACCATGGTTTGGTCTGGGTGCACGTTGTCTTTTCCCGGCTGACACACGCTCATGCCCCACGTGTCCAACACAACCACGTCTGGGTCCGCCCGGAACATCTCTCGTATCACCTCCGTGATCTGGTAAGCCAACCAGTCGCTTGCTAGCAGGTAGAACTCCAGCTTTCTTCTTTTGTGCTCTCGCGTCGTCCCGGTTCTCACGAAAACCCGCGTGCCGGGAGCCCTGCGCTTCAGACGGTGTATGGCACCCCGTATGGCGTACAGTCTGGACCGGATCAGCTCTAGCGGCTCTGCCGTAAAGTGAGCCCACAGACTCAGAACTATTACCGTGTTTGGTCCTCCTGGATTGGCGTCCAGCTCATCAACAACGTAGCGGAAGTCATTAAAGATAATCCAAACTCCTCCCTGTACGGGGAAGTGGTGAAACCGGTAGCGAACAGAGATGTTCCATTGGCCGTTGTCTCCTCTGAATTGAGCTGCAGAAACAAAAATATACATTGTCCAACTTGTGATTGTCTGCATTACGACTTTACATGCTTCACCTTTGACGATCTTTGGCAGGCATTATGACGAAATCAGTCTCAAACTGGAAAGGTAACATTTGCAAAGCAAATGCATAATATTAACCTTCGCATATGGCCTGCTCTGTTGATTATAACTCAAACACATTCACATATATTAGGAATATTAGGAAATTTTAACATAATGTAACACCAGTTACCATGGTGAGAGACGGTCTGGTTCAGATCATTGACCAGGTCAGAGGTAACTGTTTGGGGAAGAAGAGGAAACTGAGCAAAAAGAATATGTTTTCCTTCGGTAAACATAAAAACTATGTCTTTAGGAAACATCGACAAACCTTTAGAATTCATGGTATTGTTATCGTAGTTCAACGGTACTTCCTTCTCCAAACGCAGGCCCCATTGCCTGATCGTGGAGTCACCTAGATGGAATAGAAATAATCAAATTTAACGTAAGGTCCTTCGGACTGTAACGTTATCTAACAGATCCAGAAGCGCAATCATTGATGATCAGATCACTAACGATACGTACCTTGCATGTACACAGTCTTGTTAGCCAGGCACCGCCGAATGTCATTCTGAGTGAACACTCGGACATTGCAGACGGATGACGTCCACACCTTGCCTGACCAATGCCCCAAAGTTGCAGACTTGTCCCAGGTACATGCTGGAAGATGTTGGGATGTTCGCGGCTCTGCTTCAAGAACGTGTATGGGCTCCTTGGGGTCTACTTCAAGTTCCTCCTCAAGATAAGGTCTGTGTGGTTTAAAGTTTAAAATGTATCGATGAAACCAGTCGTGTATTTTCTCTGACCAAGTTGTATTGAGGGTGATACAATATTTTATGCATAACAAGCTATATATGTAAAGATTTTAAGTATATGTAAAGATGTCAAGACATGTCCTAACGTGTGCATATTAAGAGCATCATATACTTACATACTTATTCTCTTCATCCCTTGCGAGCATCATGCCACGTATGGATTATTTAAGAGGACAAGAACACATTCATGGACAAGAATGAGAAACTATCTGCAATAGAATAGCCAGGATACAAGTGTACAGGTGTTGATACAACTCACCACAGGACTTACTTTTGTATAACAGTGGGGTTCAAGCTGGGGTCGTAAGCTGGCTGCCAGGGTTCGATCCCCGGCGTTTCTATACTCGCTCTTGTTTGTGTCACTGGTTCCCACACCGGGAATCGAACCCGGGCATTGGTGGTGAGAGCGCCAAATCCTAACCACTAGACCATATCTCGCTCCTGTTTGTTTTATTTGTACAGTTGGCGACTTACCTTTGGAAAAGTTTCTTTTCTTCTTCAGACGCCAGTCCCAGGACCTTTGCCGTGCTCTTCTTCGAGTCCCATCTGCACCTTGAGATGGCGGAACACGCAAGTTTGTCCGGCTTCTCACAAATCCAGGTCCCGTTCACCTCTGGCTTTGAGAAGTCGCACTGTTGGTGAGGCAGTAGGCTGGTGTTGGCAGAACTGAAACACTGTGTTGTGTTGGTGGCGTTCTTTTTCTCGTCGACGAAGCTACAGGAGAAGACTCTCTTGTTTGGAACTTCGCGTACTCTCTGTAGAACATTCACTGCCTCGCTTGGATGGACGAGCTGAATCTTTATCTGATATATAGAACAGATCAGGCAAAGGATTTGCACTTTTAGAGCGGAAGTTATGTACAAAAAGGCAAATCACTCGAAATGACTTCGTTGTGCACTGAAAAATCCGTGCAAGCACAATTAAAAGACGTCATCATATAAACTGACAATAGCAATAAGTGCAATAACCGTAGGCTGGCAAAACGTTGTAAATATGTATCAACATGGTGTCGCTTGTACCAAAAATTCTCACTTCCTACCAAGCATCGTCCGTACTCACCGAAACGCCCCCTGTCCAGTAGAGCGGGAACTGCACGGTGTAGGTGCCGTTATTGTGGTCAGTGACGTGACCGGCGCTACTGGCCTGCGTCGAACGGTCACTACTGATGAGTCTGGCACGGAGAAAGTCTCCTCCGTACTTCTTCGGCCTTCCTTTTCCGTCTCTTGCCTCAACCCTCACGGTAAGAACGTCTCCTTGGTGAAACAGGCGGTCTCTGTTTAAGACGACTATGGTTGTATTGTTCGGGCACGTAACCTGCTCAAGGTAGCAAGCTTCAACCTTTGTAACACTTTTGACGTTGACATCAATCTTTGTAACATTTTTGGCTTTTACATCAATCTTTGTAACATTTTTGGCTTTTACATCAATCTTTGTAACAGTTTTGGCTTTTACATCAATCTTTGTAACGGTTTTGGCTTTGACATCAATTTTTGCAATGTTTTTGGCTTTAACATTTTCGTGGTAAGGAGTTTTAGTTGACTTGTGGTTGACATTTTCATGGTGTGGAGTTTTTGTTGACGTGTGGTTGACATTTTCTTGGTGAGGAGTTTTAGTTGACTTTTGGTTGACGTTTTCATGGTGAGGAGTTTTAGTTGACTTGTGGTTGACATTTTCATGGTGAGGAGTTTCAGTTGACTTTTGGTTGACATTTTCATGGTGAGGAGTTTCAGTTGACTTGTGGTTGACATTTTCATGGTGAGGTGTTTCAGTTGACTTGTGGTTGCCATTTTCATGGTGAGGAGTTTTAGTTGACTTGTGGTTGACGTTTTCGTGGTGAGGAGTTTCAGTTGACTTGTGCTTTTCGGGACTTACTTGCTCCTGTTGCGACGTTTTCGTCCACATGTTCTTTGGAGATATCATATATTTCGGGATTTCAACATTCGACCAATGTAAAGCCTGGAATTCTAATATCTGTGTGAAATAAGAAAGATGAAGTAAATAAAAAAAGTGATGTAGGATTTATCCAGAGACGTTTCGTTTTCATCTGTTTCCAACACCGAAAGTCCCACGTCCATAGCCTTTCTCAGTACGATATAGTATATAAGCACATTCGAAATACTAGTTGGTAAAAAGTACCTGAAAATTTACCCTCTCCTCTTTCAATTTGATTGATGAGTGTCATTGTTAAAAGGGTGCCAGTATAGTTACGTCCTTTTTAATGACAATAACAATGAAGTTTATTGCATATCCATGCCCCTAAATGCGGCGATTTATAGCTACAAGTAAGTAATTGGGAAACTATATGTTCTATCTACATCTATTATTTATACGTAAATTTCTTCTGTCTTCTTGAGTCGTTTGTAGACGAATTGACAGAGTTTTGAATATAACATCGTCGTTAACGGAAGAACATGTCATGCTTTAATTTAAAAGTGTGGACTTGTTAGTTATAACTGTATTTCATCCTGATAAAACGGAGTTCTTTGGCGTTTTACACAATCCTCTGCTACCCCCCCCCCCGAACGGTAAAGGAAAAATATTTTTTCTATGTGTACCTGTCTACCCTGTAGAAGTTGCCTTGGTTTTTAATGGGTTTAGTTGTGCCCTCGTGTGTTTACAGTTTTTGTACATTTATTTATATTTCCTCTTCTTCTTCTTCTCCAAACCAACAAGGTCAATGACCTGGACCAGACACCTGTCACCATGGTACTGTAAATTCATTTTTGTTCGCGGGGGATAAATTTCGCGTTAGGAAAGAAACGGAGATTTTTGCGGTGTTTTACGTTCGCGGTTGAAACTATACTTAAACATGGTAGTACATTTACAGTGCCTTTACTACGGTTACAAGATGCCTCTTATAAGTCATTGCAAAGGTCATGGACAGGCTTAGCTGCTAGTACACAATATTGTGGCAGTATGCCGCTATTGATGCATATCTTCCACTATTGTCTTATCTAATTTCACATACAGAGAAGCTCGGCGCGGTTCTTGTTGAGAATAGATAAAGAAGGAGGATCAAATAGCGCGGTTCTTGTTGTGGAAACAGTAGAGAAGAATGTCAAATAGCTTGTTTATTAAGACTCTCCTGATATGTATCTAAATGAGTGAAGCAAGTGCGTGTGGAAGTTCATCTGGGTTTACTAGTAAACAAACGTCCGTGCCATCGCAGCCGATACAATCGCACACCGTCCTTGTCATGGGTTTACCATATGACGTTAAAAATGTGTCTCGTGATGTTAGATACTATATATATATATATATATATGTATATATATGCACAAAAAGGTGTTCCTGGCTGGAAGTGCAGTCTTGAATCAGCACCATCGGTTTTGTGAACAGGTGTTAGTCGGTGATCGCCTTGAAAAACATCCACCCAGTACAGAAAAAAATCTAATAGACTAAGAATAATCTTTCAAAAATTCTAATGAACAGGCACAGTCTGCTATTAATAACCTCTAATATTAACCCCTGCTAAGTGGACTACACTGCAGTATTATTAAAATGAACCAGGCAACAGGCCAACTCGCGCATTCCCGCCAAAAGCCCGAGCAAGCTCCCAATAGACTGGTTATCCAGCTGTAGTACTAAAACAAATCACATTCGCGATGTCATGACTTTGCGATGGAGCAATCAACGCGAATACCGCGAAAATAAAACCACCACGAACATTACAAGATTTACAGTAACTGGTGTTGGGTTACATCATGTTGCAATTTTATAGCAGGAGGGAATTAAGACTTCTGTCTGACCATATATTGTAAGAATTAACAGAGCAGACCAGTGCGAAGGTAGACATTACTAGTATGCATTTTGCTTTGCAAAATGTTACCTTTCTAGTTTTATTTTTGTAATTTTATTCTAGAGCAATAAGTAGGAAAAGAAAAAGACTAACATACCGTAAGGAAAATCACCACAGCAACCAGCACGGTAAAGGCAGCATAGAAACGGGAACTGGCCATTTTGTGTTCTGCTAACAAGTAAAGCAGTAGTGGTGTTAATCTCCAAGCAGCTTCGTTGGGGCAATGTTGGCCGCCTGTATCCATTGGTCGCCTGTATCCAACGTTCCTGCTGTATCCAACATTCGCCCCACGAACGTTGCACACAGTCCTTTGTGAAGTCAAGAAAGACAGGACTGCTCACAATAATCACAAGATACAAGTACATGTAAGAGAACGTTTGAATAGTTTGTGCCGGGAGGGGCCAATAATATAACCTTCAGTGCAAATAGACCACTGCACGAAAAGGTGGATTTACCTAAGGTTGTAAATTCAGGTAATGTTTACTAAGTACACAGTATTTGGCTTTACAATGGTAGTAAATAACGATCAATTGCAGTAATTTCCTTTACAACCCTTGTTAAGTCCGGTATTACCGTACTTGACCTTTCTTTACTGCCATTGTAAAATTCAGAAGTGTTTATTCAAAAACAAAGTAAACATTATCCACCTATACTAGTATCGGTAAATCTAAGTTTTCGTGCAGTGCACTGCACGAAAACTTAGATTTACCGGGCCAGTATAGTTGGGTAATGTTTACTTTGTATTTCTTAATAAACACTTCTGAACTTTACAATGTCAGTAAATAAAAGTCAAGTACGATAATATCGGACTTTTAACGGTTGTAAAGGAAATTGCTGCAATTGACCTTTATTTACTACCATTGTAAAGCCAGATACTGTGTACATAGTCAACATTACCTGAGTTTACAACCATTGGTAAATCCAACTTTTCGTGCAGTGGGCCATACACAGATTAGATGACTACACGCATACACGCCTGTATTGTCATAGAATCATAAATTTCTGTTGCTAGATAACATTATGTTTAATTTACGCTATACAGTACAAGAATTGGGACTCACCAAATGCCTGTCTAGTGACTGCCCGTCTAGTCCATGTTAGCTCCTTTCTCTGTGCAGCCGCTCACTAATCTGTTGGCTAGCACTGTTTGTACTGAAATTTGACAAACACCACCTTAAATACGGCCAGGGGCACCTCACGTGAAAGGTATGCCAAAGGGAAATTCTAGCTAGTTTTGTATGGGAGGCTTAACAAGTTTGGCCAGGAGGTAGCATAGACAAAACAGGTATGTCGAAGTGACTATGGCCAACTAGTTTTGAATGAGAGTAAGAATGTCGTTGTCATTATTGCAAGGAACTTAAAGTTGATAGACAACAAAAGTCACTTTGTTCTGTTGGGCAACTGGGTTCATTTTAATAATACTGCAGTGTAGTCCACTTAGCAGGGGTTAATATTAGAGGTTATTAATAGCAGACTGTGCCTGTTCATTAGAATTTTTGAAAGATTTTTCTTAGTCTATTAGATTTTTTTCTGTACTGGATGTTTTTCAAGGCGATCACCGACTAACACCTGTTCACAAAACCGATGGTGCTGATTCAAGACTGCACTTCCAGCCAGGAACACCTTTTTGTGCCCTCTCTCTCTCTCTCTCTCTCTCTATATATATATATATATATATATATATATATATATATATATATATATATATATAGTATTTAACATCACGAGACACATTTTTAACGTCATATGGTAAACCCATGACAAGGACGCTGTGCGATTGTATCGGCTGCGATGGCACGGACGTTTGTTTACTAGTAAATCCAGATGAACTTTCACACGCACTTGCTTCACTCATTTAGATACATATCAGGAGAGTCTTAATAAACAAGCTATTTGACATTCTTCTCTACTGTTTCCACAACAAGAACCGTGCTATTTGATCCTTCTTCTCTATCTATTCTCAACAAGAACCGCGCCGAGCTTCTCTGTATGTGAAATTAGATAAGACAATAGTGGAAGATATGCATCAATAGCGGCATACTGCCACAATATTGTGTACTAGCAGCTAAGCCTGTCCATGACCTTTGCAATGACTTATAAGAGGCATCTTGTAACCGTAGTAAAGGCACTGTAAATGTACTACCATGTTTAAGTATAGTTTCAACCGCGAACGTAAAACACCGCAAAAATCTCCGTTTCTTTCCTAACGCGAAATTTATCCCCCGCGAACAAAAATGAATTTACAGTAGTTGGCAGTAAACGTAACACAACATATGTAACGTTATCATTTCTTGCTCAACAAGGTTTATTATGTCAAAATTTGGCTGTTTTTTTCCCTATCACATTAAATTTAGAGTCTGGAAAGGATGACATTCATAAAATTTACCTGCTGTGGCCTGAAATTGTCCAGGGGCCAAGACGGGAATAGCTGGTTGGGTGCTTTGAGTGTAATAACAATGTGTGACTCAAGTAACTGGTCACCTTGAATTGGACTAATGCTGATACATAAGAAGTTAGATGCAGAATTGTGAACTCTTTCCAACAGAGAAGAGACATTTTGTAATAGTTTATTACATGCAGTAACTAATCGAGTCACTTTTTGAAAGGTCTGACAGTTTTCAAAATCTATCCAGGTGCTAGCTTTCCGTTGCCGTATCTCATATTACATAATCAAGTAATATTCATCGACGTACAGCAGATATTCCCTTATTATTAAAAGGCAGAGCGTTTCAACTTTGATTTATATCACTTTAGATCAATGGAATTTTTAAATGGGAAAATCAGACAATTTTCACCCCAACAACTTTTCAAATTTGGGATATTACTTATAGCATTTATAGACCACATAATTAGCTTCTTCATAAACCACTTATACAATTAGCAACATTTGCAAAGCAAATGCATAATGTTTACATTCACATGGTCTAGCCTAACAAACCGCTGCTCTGTTTATTGTTACTCAAACACTTTCATACATACATTGCTTGTTACAGTAATATGTTGAGCAGCTCCTACAGCTTAGCTGCTCTGCCCTGCTACATGAAACCCAACACCACAGGGTGTCTGCTACATCATCAGTTGTCATGGTGACAGACTGGTCCAGGTCAGAAGAGGAAGAAGAAACAGAGCAAAAAGAACACGTTTTCCTTCTGCGAAGATTTACATAATAAAGAAAAAGGCTAAAATAAGAAGCTCAACATGTTTCCTATATTAGCGTAATGTAAAGCGTACATGTAGAGTCGAAATATTTTCTAGCCAATAGTTCTTTATAACACTCTGTCAGACACAGTAACCGTTGACCATATATGTAGCATTATGATAGACACATACCAACTAGTAATCTTATTATCTGCCATACATTGTACCCGTGACAATCGTTGTGCAATAAACTTTGACTTGACTATATGCCTATAATCCAACTAGGACACACAAGGCACTTTTCTATTGTGCCTCTTGAACTAATATCTTTTTAGGTGATCAATAACACCATCCAGTAAGTCACAAAGAAGATGGCAAAGGCTGTTGGAAACACGATCCTGGCCCATGAATCTAGCACGGCTGGCTTCTTGTACAGACATGGTTTGCTGGGTGCCGCGGGTGACGGGGACGGAACCTCGGTTGCACTTGCACCTATCTGCCGCGCACGGGGGATTTTTACCGGAGGATCCTTCGGGCAGTCTTTTGCCTTGTTTCCCTGTGGACAAAAGATTGAGTATTAGAACCCAGACCGATCCTGTATACCCATCACAACACACCTTTACTGAATGTGCATCACATACTGTCAGTTATCGATTCAACCAATGAGTAGCTGCATGTCGGTCAAATGTTTCCATACAATCGTTCCATTAGCAAGCAGTTCAACCAATGAGAGAATGACAATTAGCGCTTCGACCAATCAGACAGGTCCGTGAAACGTGCATTTTGACGGAAGTGGGCGGAGCTATTGGATTGGTCTATTTACAGGTGTGCAGTTCAATATTACATAAGGCGTCGATGGATACGTACATATATGCTAGGAATTCGTCAGAACGTACTGCGTCAAACTGCGGAAAACCTGGATTTTCTGTTACAATTTTCGTCGGATGTTTGGTCAAGGTTGCACTAGAAATTTGCCTGTTACAGACGATATCTTTTCTGACACAACATTTGAAAATCATGGACGGGACACTCTGCCGACATTACAGGTTTCGCGGTCGAGCTACGTGTCCTTAGTACGTACTCACCTTTCCCTTGGTTCGCTCCAAAACATGAACAAGGGGAAACTCCAACATGGCGAGCACAACAAACACCAGGCAGCCGAGGTACCACACATCGATGGCTCGTGTGTATGAAATCTGTTGGAGTGGATACAAGAAAAATGATCTTTCTCTTTTCTCCTGAATATTGACTGCTGGGTTGCCGATTTCAAAATAGGACTAAATCTTCGTTGTTGGAATACTTTTGGCACAAGGTGTATCATGCGACAAAATCAAATCAAATTGATACTAGTACAACGCTTCAAGTATGAATTGATGACGAAAATGTGGTACAAATCACCCAATATCTGCTTGACAAAAACTACGTATTATCACACCCACCCACAAATGACCTGTTCCACAAAACCTTCAAAATAGTTTGGGTTCACTGTGTACTAAAACTATACGTTACTGGTTCATTTCACAGGGCACTGAAGCTATGTGTTACTGCAACGAATTGAAATGCCTTTTGTATTCCAAAACATATTTTGGAATGCAACATCTAGTATATGTTACTCACATAAGGCATCGGTGTCATAGAGGCACGTTGTTTCACCATGACCAGATACGTGACTGTCCCCATGAAGACTCTGGGAGATGAGTCTGTGTGGTGGATCCAGAACGCCATCCAGGACACCACCACAGCGATGGTCGTCGGGATGTAGAACCGGAAGATAAAGTAGGGCAGACGTCGCTGGAGATGAATCCCCACTTCCAACGTGGAATACGATCTCGGCGAGCTGTCTAGGTGTGAAAGAGTGATTATCATCAAACATATGCACCACATAATAGTATGTAACAGATAACAGGGGAAAACAGGAAATCAAATCGAAAGTATCTAAAATGTTTATGAATTTCCTGTTTTAGTCATTATTGTGAATTTCTCGCTGATTCTGTGATATTCCACTGTCACCCATCTGAGTTCCTCCACTATACCCCCCCCCCCGTCTTTGGGGGGACCAATTTGACCTCCAATATGACCTTCCTGTTGGTAGGGGTTATCTTTTTTTTTTCTTTTAAACTTTGGCAATCTCTATTGATCCAACCTAAATACAATTCAGTTTAACAAAGTAAAAGGACATAAGGACACTCATATTTTCAATGTCAATGATTGTACAACATTTCATCATTCAAGCGTCAATTCATGGAGCTAGGAAAGGTCGATCAGCTTGAAAAAAATTATGTCCCTTGCAGGGGTCCACCCAAAGAAAGGCTAGGGTCGGCAGTTAGTTTTTCTCTAAGCCAGTCTGGAAACAGGAAGCACAACATTTTTCTAAGGCCTAATGAGGTACCTGACGGTGCAGAGCAGTTGGTCGGGACCGTCCGACAGTTGCCGATGTACGCCGCACACTGCTGGCACTGCCCGCCGCTCGTGTCACAGTACCGCATGGCTGCACACAGGTCCGCGTCACGTTTGGTCGAACACTTTTGGGAAAAGTACTCACACGGCAAATCTTTTGGGGGAAATATTTGTCAGTCGTAGTCAATTTATGGTCATTTCTTTGCAAAGTCAGTTGAATCGACCCTACTTCATTGCAATGAGTGCCATTCAGAAAGTGGAGGTGCCAAAATATGACGCCTTACGGCCGGGTGTGTTTAAAAGCTTCCATGTCAAAAGAACTGAACCCACACATATTCAATCCCTCCATCGGGGGCAAGGTACACCTGTACGGCCTGTTTCCCTTACGATTTTTAAGGAGTTCTTACTTCTTATAGTCTATTAGGGATCGTGGAAAGTGATTTGTATCGGAAAGTGACAAATCACTTCTTCTGTTCTGAGTGTTCTTGTAAAGTTTCCTTTTTATTGTTTTTGTTTGAACCAAATAAAAAGCTGATTGGATTTGTTAAGGCTATCAAATTCTGAACAAATATTTACATGACAGACGGATAGAATTTGTGCGGATCTAGTCTTTTTGGCTGCAAAGCGAAAGAGAGAGTGTACAGAAGCTAAAATGTAATTTCTCTAAGACCGGCTAACTTCCTTCTTTTTAGGCCAATTTCTTCTCAGCCTGCAAAGGAGTCTGGTGGAAACTAAAAAGCTTACCTTGCCCCCGAATGGAGTTGACACTTGCTTTAATGAGTGTTCCTGTCACCACATACTGTGACTGGACATTCGTCAGGTCAATAGACAGCGGAGACGGTACATCTTCTGTCACAGAGAGCTCAAACACTGTCCCTCCATCTGAAAGTCAGGTACTGTATTCACTTGTCATAACGTTAAATACAAGTAACCGACATCTCTATATACTAGTACCTGCATGATACTGCGAAAATCTGATGGCTAAATGAAACACGCCACGAAAAATGGCATTTACGGATGCTTAAACCATGCTTAACGTCAACGTATATTCGATCTTTACGCATCTATAAACCTCTTATACGAGTACGTAAACATCGTCCGATACGTGGTCTTTCCGTAGGTGCAGATGGATTTTCCGGCTCAACTTAAAGCAACTTAAAGAGGGCGTTAAATAGCGGCGAGTTGCAGAACTCTAGTCAGAAGCTCTGAGGAAGGTGTCTGATAGACATCGAAACGTAAGCAGGTGAGAACCTCTCTGGTTGTGTAAGAAGAAAATTCTATACCCTAAGTATCTTCCAACCTGATGAAATTATTTACGGAACTTAAAGATGTTATAAATAATGATCAAAACATGTAATCAAATTTGACGTATTTTTCTTCTTGAAGCATCATTACGGGTCATACATGTATACGTGTGGGTAAAGATGTGTGAGTTGGAGTTTACAAACAAACAAACAAACAAACAAACTTACATGCATGCAGTTCAACCAAGCACTCCTGGGTGTCCACTGGGAAGCGGTGGAGATCCACTGGACACTGCACACGGAGTTCACGCCTGTGGCGGTGGTCAGTGAGGACTTGTTACCGGTCAAGCATCTTTCACCAACAACTACACTTACGGCACGGTCATACGATCGAAAACTGAGTTTTGATTTTTAATTTTTAATTTTTGATACTTTAAAGTAAAAAGGAAGCTACTCACGCCATACTGTGGCTGACCTGTCCGTCCGGAGACAGCCAAGTGGACACGGAGCTGGAGTGACCACCGTCTGACGGAGTGGACACATTGCTGCTGCCAGCTGCAGCCTGGGTACTCCCACTCGACCTGGCTTCTTTTGCTGAAAAAATGGTACATGTATATTAAGTGATATGATTATAGCAAAATAGCTTTCCTGTCAGTCTGTGGTTACATCATCCCCGCTCACTTCCTACGACTCTACTGTACCCAACGAACACACTTGCAAACAAACTAACCTACGTGCACGGGGTAGTAACAGCCAATGGAGTGGCAAACACTGTATAGTAGTCTTTAAAGGAGTTCTAACCTCCAGAAGGAAGTGCTATTTTCCGATACATCATGCTGCAATGAATACATAACTAGCGGACTTTTTACATAATTTCGCTTGTACGACTTGCGCTGCGCGTGTTTGTAAAGTGATATTAATATCATTTTCCCCCATGCTGAACCACAATTGATACATCCGGGAACTCTGGCTTACGCAATACTCATACACTTCAGGTCAACATAAACATTTTTTGGCGAAAATGGTAGGAGACAAGCGCACTAACAAGCTGATTATTGAGAAATTACTTGCTTTGCTTTGCTTGAACTGTGGCTTGGATATTATAATATCAGGATGTCGAATACAGTGGGCGCCAGTTTCATCCTGCGTGTTTTGATTTTCTCAACTTATTTGCATGTAAGTATTACTTGAACAGATAATTAGATTACGCCACTTTTGAAAAAGATAACTAGATTACGCCGTTTTTTTCATCGTCAATATTTGCGGCATAAATGAGGGGCGATAAGGACACGAAGAAGGGCAATGGTTGGTAAGATACCAAAAAACACAAAACGGTACGAATTTTTCTTATCGCCCCCGAAATGAGGTCTGTAACGTAACTTTTTGTTTAAAACATGGACACCAATGGGGTAGCGTGGTGTATTCTGGGATAGTTTTGAGGGTATTTGGAGAGTTTGTCCTGGATTCGATGCGTTTTAAGACTTGCGCACAAAATGGGCATTTAATTGTATACTGTAAAACAAGTAAAATCTGAGATTTTATACCTCCGGGCTTTTTATTGTATATTTCTATATGTTGTTTGTTATGTATAGTTGATGGTGTTGAATTTTATGTGTTTAGCGTTCCTGGTTGTGTTAACACAGGTCAACATTTTCATCTGCAGCCCATAACATGTACCCATGAACTTATGAAATTCTATTTAATCTGCCGCAATGAACTCGTAATGAAACTCAGAATGACAACCGGAAACGTTAAATCAGACGTTAAAAATAACGGCTGAAGTAGCAAGCCATCCTTATTGTCACTTCCTCCATTTTCCGCCAATTCTTCGTATAAATCGGGGAAGTAAAGGTCTGAATCCTCGGTAAAAATGCACGCCGAGAACGTCTGAGACCGTATACCGCGGTATTTGTAAGTTAGTAGTCGTAATATACGCCGAAAACATCCAAAACAAAGATTGCGCAAGAGTACGTTGACCCCTGACCCATTGACCAACCCGGAAGTTGCTGCCGATCACGCGTCCTGTGAACGCGTACTAAAAATACCCTCCAAACAACATTTGTTGCGCCTCGCATACAGAAGATGTATGTGCACAACAACAATTGTTGCGCGCCGCAAGACTAAGAATTTATTGAGACCCGTCACCCCTCTGTGCGACTGTGGACGAGACCGACTATATCTGACACACGCAAAAGATCAACGGTCGCGACCCACTTTCTCACTCAAGGGGTGTTCTGGGGTCATCAAAAGGCTCCATTTTCACGCCCGAAAACACATATACAATAAAAACAAAAGAACGTGCATCATCTGCAGCCCGATAGCAAAACATGTACCGAGTCTCAAAAGAATCCGTCCACTCAAACGCGAGGAATCGCTGCGAACGTGAAATTCTAAAACTCTCACAAAGCCCTTCCGCGGAAGGATGTCTCCTCCCCCGGAGGCAATAATATGCATTTTTCACTTCCAAAAATAAATGCCTGTCGAAATATAGCACCTCCTTCTGGAGGTTAGTACTCCTTTAACGGACCAACTCCCCAGGCAAGTTATCTGTCTATTTGGCCAATTTCCACTCTTTCCTAGCCTCCACCAGGCCTTTCTATGGGAATACAGATCGTAGCATTCGGCAAAAAGGAGAGTCTCCTATATATAGCTAGCGTAGTTAGTATCAGGAGTAACTCTTTCCAGTTGCTACCCGAAGCCAGGTAAAGGCTAGGTAATAACACAAGGAGCCTACACTTGCACATACCTGCGATGACAGATTTGCCGAATCGAAATGGTGGCAGCCATAAGAGATGAGACGGGACGGGCACCCAGCTTTTGCTCAAACCCTGCAGGCGGACGTCACTCCAGGCCACCTTGAAGGTCATCATCAAGCTCAGTTCCTACAGAAGGCGATGCAGACAACAACATGTCTTTCAGAGAGACAGGCTAACAACAGCCTCCTGTGCAGGCCTCAGTATCAAACTCCCACCCGCCCGGAGGCCTGCTTATGGGCCAATTGTGTTGTATTTTCAAATAAATTATTCAAAATGAATTACAATACGTTTTTCAATAGATAAATACTACTGTTAGTGTCCTTTGCCCCCCGTATAATGGTACGGTCCAAAAAGGGGGCGGTTACTAGTACTAGTATCTGAATAACCGCCCCCTTTTGAGGTTACGGCCAGATACTAGTAACCAATGGGAAATGGAGCCTTCTGATTGGTCGGCGTCTACTGGCTATATGATAATATGCAATAAACTTTATTGTCATTATTTAGTAAAACTTAGATATCTAATACCATTTTTTCCTCGTCCATGTAGTTGACCTGGCGGATTTTCACTCCAGACGATGTTGGAAGACTCTTTCCTGTAAAATATAGCCGTAAAAAAACATATAATAGTAATGAGCATATCCTATAGCTAGTTTTTTTTTTTCAATGAGAATATTTCAATTTCTGGTGCAAAATGTGACATAATGCCCCTTGAATGTCTACGTACCACCAAGAAGCTCTACGGGACTGACGGTGGAGTCGTAGTCGTCAGGCAGCGGACTTCCCGTGGACCACTCCTGCCAGTCCTGCCACGTCCCGCCGTCTGACGGACTCAGGGCCTCCTCAGCGGAGGTAGCTGCAGCTCCGGGGTACGGCCCCCAGGCGGCGCTCCAAACGCCTGTAGTCGCGTTTGCTGGTGGAGAAAAGAAAACAGTATCAGGTGATATATGATGGAGAAAAGAAAAAAAAAAGGATCAGGTGATATTTCTGCAAGTATGGAGTTTTTTGTAATCACTTATTCACTTTTTGTAATAATAATAATTATAATGATTCGTACCTTCGGAAGAACCCTGCTGCTCGAATTCATTACAGTCACCACAGCTACAATCATCCTGGCTACAACTGACGCCTGAGAAAGATAAACAGTTATGTTGATGAAGGTTTGGCATCTAGAAAAATGGTAGTCACAGACAGTCTGAAAGATAAATACTCAATACGATATATGAAGAAGAGTGGTGGATGTCACTCAAAATATGATTATAACCTTCGTATTTTCGAGGGGTATCCGGTTGTAGAGTTCAATGATGAGAATTTCGTTCAGCACTACATAAAAGTAAATATACCGTTCAGCACTGGATAGACCAACAGACTGAATAGTCTAACACCACGACCAAAACATTTAAAAATGCCACTCTTTCATTGGTTGAAATGCTAATTACCTTGCTATCATTTGTTGAAGTGTGAAGTATGATGGAATCCGGAAACTAAAGACCACTATTCCTCAAAACTGCAACTGAAGTTCCTTCAATATTGTCTGGGCAGCAGTTTATAACGTATCAATACAAATTTGATATCGGAACCTCACCGCAGCTTGGAACGTTGCAGTACTCCCATCTGACGCTAGGGTTGCTGGTGAGACACCACGGCCTGGCCCGGTCC